GCCCAAATGAAGAATGTACCTTATGCTAGTGCACTTGGGAGTATTATGTATGCTCAAGTATGTACTAGACCAGATATTGCTTTTGCAACAGGACTTCTAGGCAGATATCAGTCAAATCCAGGATACGATCATTGGGTTGCTGCCAAGAAGGTTTTGAGGTACTTAAAGAGGACAAAAGACTATATGCTGATTTACAAACATGTTCAGGACCTACAGCTAGTTGGGTATTCGGATTCAGACTTTGCTGGCTGTCAAGATGAAAAGAAGTCGACAACAGTTACATTTTTAAGTTAGCGGGAGGTGCGAGTATCATGGAAAAGTGAGAAACAAAATCAATGACATCCTCTACCATGCAAGCGGAGTTTGTAGCATGCTTTTCGACCGCTACTCAGGCAATTTGGCTCCGGAACCTCATTAAGGAGTTGATCGTATTTGATTTTGTGGATAGGCCCATACAGCTGTATTGTGACAATAACTCTGCAGTGTTGTTCATTAACAACAACAGAGGTCTCAAGGGGTCTAAGCATATGGAGGTCAAGTACTTGACTATAAAGGAAAAAGTTCAGGATGGTGACATTGCGGTAGAGCACATTTCAACAGATGATATGATTGCGAATCCGCTAACTAAAGGCCTTCGCCCTTGTGTATTTGATCGACATGTCATTAACATGGGCTTAGGAGTATCATGGGATACTTGTTGATTAGTGGGAGCTGTTTAGTTTTATGTTGCTCTTATGAAGTTTGTATCTGATTTTGTTACATTTTGTAATATTTGAATATGTATCAACTCTTTTGCATTCAATGAGGTATTTGTGAATGTAGATTTATCAAGTTGAGTATACATATTTGATGAAAATCTCGAGGCATTGTGTAAACCTTGAGTACAGGCTATGGGGCATTCTTAGTATTAGCCTTAACGATATGTCTTGTTACACATAAAGTACAGTTAACTATCAATGTAAGACATATGAAGGTTCGTTGGAACCATGAAGGATATTCTCTGGTGACACATTAGGTTTTGTGACACTTAAGGAGAGAGAATTTGGACTAACAAAGTGGACAACACATAAAGTATCACTCATTATGAGGTATTGTCCATTTGACACACTACCATATTGAATCCATATCAGTAAAGTTGAAAGCACTCGTGACCATGGAAGGCTCTGCGTGAGTACATGCAGTTACCGCCATGATTCGGTGTTCGAGACTTTATGGGATCGGATTGACTATTAAGAATAATCTCTAGACCAATATAAGGGTGCGCACACAGTTCTGTTTCAATTAATATCGCCCAAGTGGGAGAATGTAAGAATTTCCTAATGTGGGCTTCATTAATTGAAATTAACTCGAATTAGTTTGGTCTAATAAAGGTAAGATATATGGGTTCTTAATAAGTCTAATATGGGATCATTTGGTGTGGGCGAGACGGCCCGGCCGTAATGAGAGGGCCGTGGTCGAAGACTCTATAAATAGCGCTCAAGTCCCTCCCCTAACCTGATGATGCACAATTTGACTCACATACGGATCTAGAGAGAACTTTCTTCTCGTGAGTGGCAATCTCATTAGGCCAGTGTTCTAACGAAGGGTATAGGGGAGAAGATCTTGAGTTCGTGTTCTGAAACCGTCGCCAATTCCGCTTTAAGTCCGATGGATTCCAAACCAGGTACGCGAATCGACAATTTCTCCATTATCGTGTTTCGGTTTCTGATTATGGTGATCCTGGGCGTGCCATTTTCGTGGCCAACAGAAGTCTCATCCAGAGTCCATTTAAAAAGATCGGTGTGATCAGCTTCGCTGTTCAACAACTTCTGAGTCAAGCTCATCTACTCTGATGCCCTGAAATCTATTGATATGTTATTATGATCTCATTACGATACTTGGAAACCATTGGAGACAAGGAAAAGTAGTGCAACTTAGTGAATTGGCAGTGCAGTCAAGGTTATCGATGGGTGGTAGCTTCTCATTCACTGAATGATACTCACTGTTGTGACTGGTCTGCAGAAAAATAGAAAGAAAAGCCCTTCAAAAGCTCTTATGAAAAATGAACACCTTCTTATAAATTTCTTTCGCAGTTTGCATCAGCACTTATCCTGTCTCTTGTTTTTTCTTACCTTCCGTTCATATAACCCCACTTGCGCTTGGGGTCGTGAACCTTGTAAGCAGCAGTTTTGCAGGGTATGTACAGTAAAGTCTCTTCCTTACATGTCTGAAAAAGGTTTGCAATGTATAAATATTCTCTTCCTTATGTACAAAAAATTCTCATTCTAATCGATGTGATATACACAGAGGTCATTACTAATTAATTACATATGATGAATCCGACCAAAAAAAATAAATAAATATGATGAATAGTAAGTAATTACTTAATGGTTTATGTTTACTTAAAAAAGAACGAGAACTGTGAAATCTTTAAATAAAAAATGTGTAGCTTCTTATGTATTGGTGGTTGCTTGCGTAGCTGCAGAGTCTATGGCCGTGATCTGATGCCACATGTCAGATTATCTTCGGTTTCTGATTTTTCATGGTATTAATCAAATTTAACGGAAACTAACGGAGGGTAAATTTGTCACAAATGTACCGGTTTAGGATTTTTTGTGATTAAAAAAATTACTTTAGGGTAAATTTATCGCAGGTGTATTAGTTTGGAGTTTTTCATGATACCCTTGAACATAATATATCCTAACATGATTACAATATGTTCTAATATATCAAAATGTATAAGTAAGTCTTTTGCATGAGTTGTGTTAATTGATTATCACTCATTCTTATAATATGCAAAATAATCAATTCATGCATAAAACAGAGTATTGTCAATACAAATGATTAGTAATTGCTTAGTGAATATTAGAGGGAATATGCTAGTTCGGTTTTAGTGCTTCCCTTTTGTCTGTGGCTTAGAATATAAAGGCTTATGTTACACCTTACCGCCGGAAGAAATCTCCCTCATGTCATGTATATATACCTCTATTTTTATTTTCTTTTGCTATATGACCACTTTAAATTTCATTTGCAATGAAATCACATAAATCAATTTCTTTATATTCATTCTCAAAGGAGTACCTTAGTTCTGAAAGTTATATCTGAAAGTATTCAACCACTGATGATGAACGTTCTTAAAAAGTTCAATCTAAGTTGCTAATCTGTTTAAAAAATGATTTTTTTTTTTCAAATAAATTCCTTGCAACGTCCTAAAGGTAGAATAGTGTATAATACCTTTTTTGGTATATCTTCTTTATTTTGCTACTTTTTTCATGGATTATGATGAAAGTGAAGATTAAGATAGAGGCATAGTTTTTTTTTTCTAAATATAATGTAGATTTATTCGTTTCAACAAGTGAATAATGAAATTGAAAAGTAAAAATTACACGTTTTACTATGCCATAATTCTATAGTTTCCTGTCTACTCATATTGACTTTACCATGCCACCTTTCTCAAAAAGTTCACGCATAGATAGGTGATGTCCGATGAAAATCAATGTGGAAAGAACAAGCTGAGGGAAGATTGTCCAAAAAGTACTAAACATATTGTACGACGGCCAACTCAGTCCTAAACCTTTCAATTATGTCAATTTAGTTTTAAATCTTTTGGTGATTTGCCAATTCGATCTTAAACCTTTTAATTGTGCCGATTTATTCATAATGGATGATTTGCCATTTTAGTCCTAAACCTTTGACGATTTACCTATGTAGTCCTTCCAGCCAATTATCCAAATAATAAGTTTAAGACTAAATTGGCAAATCTTCAAAATGTTTATGGCTAAATTGATACAATTAAAAAGTTTAGGAATAAATTAGCAAATTGTCAAAAGGTTTAGAACTAAATTAGCACAATTGAAAGGTTTATGATTGAATTAGCCACCAGACAAAAGGTTTTAGACTTTTGGGACAATTATCCCAATTAGGTTTAAATTTCACTTTCGGATCTAATGTCATGCAATGCAGTAGTGTCTTTTTTTATGGTTAGTGTCTTCGGAGTAAAGTCATCTTTCGTAGATTATTGTAGATTACATACTGGTACTACAATTTACAATCAAATCAAGTTTGTCTGTTCATCTTTATGTGCATTGTCCTTAACCCATCGACATTAATGGTTGAGGATTAAAGTGACTAGGAACAACTTCTGCACCAGAGAAAGAATACGAATGTAATGCCCAAAGAGAACAACATTTTTCTTGCACAAATTGCACGGAATGATGTTATAATGACCCCCAGTTGCTAGGGTATTCGGTTCCTAGGTTGAGCCAGTTTCACCTTAGAACCAGGAACTGGACCGACTTGTCTGGTTTCCAAGTTGGACCAATCTAGTTTAGGATTTTGGCAATTTTCTTTTCTTTACTCTTTCAAAAAAAGAAAAAAAAACATATCAGTCCGGGCGGTTTGGTTCACACATTCGTGCACACCCCTACTAGTTGCACTAGTGGCGTTTCAATGGGAAGAATTTATACATACTGTTGAGGGTGCTTCATATGAGCTGATTAGTCTATTACTGCATGCATTTCATAGCAAACACCCAAAAACAGAAGTGTGAATTATAAAGTATATCTCGACTCGAGCAAGAGAGGAAGATCCGAGCGTCAAGAAGAGGCCCTGCCAATTGTTGAAAAAGCAATGAAAATAAAAAGGTTCATATGTCAAAGTTTGTGGGCCATATATAAAGAATATGTAGGCAGGTGCCGTCTCCTGGTGGTTGTCTTGTCTCTGAATTTGGTGGGATGGACCTTTCATACACTCCATTTTAATACCAACGAGCCAGGGTTCTCACACATCTCCACCTTTGACACAGTGAATACTCTCAGCCCGGATCCTGTGAAACGTGTGCAATCATAATTATCGAAGTTTGTGGTACCGGTGGATCGATGGTTATGATCGATCTGATCCGTGTGGGATCCGGATTGGACCGGGTCCAAGCATGAATATGGCCCCACAATGCAGGCGTATAAAAAAATGCATCAGATTGACTCTCATGCATTTATGTCCTTTTCAGAGGCTGAGTCATTGGTAGAAGGAGGGGTTGGCCGACTTCGCTGTTCAATGATGGCTCAGGTCCAGCTTATGTACTTCGACCCTTTCTTTGTTTCTTCTTGCCTTGCTTTCATATCTACCCGCTTCCCTTGGCTTGGAGTCATGAAACTCCTAAGCATGAGTTTTGCAGAGTTTCAATCACGCCGCTTGCTTCTTGTTATTGCTCTTGCACTGTGCTTTAACCAAGTCTCCTCCACCACCAATGAAACAGACAGACTAGCGCTGCTCGCATTTAAGGCCAGCGTAATCGGAGATCCTTTCGGCGTGCTCAACTCATGGAACAACAGTATCGGATTTTGCCGGTGGTATGGCGTTACGTGCAGCTGGAGACACCAGAGGGTCACGGCCGTGGACTTGCGATCACAAGGACTTTTCGGATCAATATCACCTCATATTGGGAATCTCAGCTTCTTAAGGGAATTATGGCTCCAAAACAATAGTTTCAGTCATGAAATCCCTCAGCAAGTCAGCCAGCTACGCCGCCTTCGTGTCTTACGACTAGACAACAATTCATTGGCCGGTGAAATTCCCAAAAACATATCGGCCTGCTCTAACCTTGTTGGCCTCGTCCTTCAATACAACCAACTAAGTGGAGAAATTCCTACCGAAGTCGGTTCATTATCCAAGCTACGGTTTTTTTATTTAACTTCTAATAATCTCACTGGGATTGTGCCTTCCTCCATAGGGAACTTATCTTCACTAGAGATCCTTTATTTATCTCGGAACAACTTGGGCGGGAGCATTCTACAAGTCCTAGGCCACCTGACAAACTTTCAAATCATTGCCTTTGCAGGAAACAAATTGTCGGGTACAATTCCATCTTCTTTACTCAATCTCTCTTCGCTAGTTCAGTTTGATGCCGGAAACAACCGAATACAGGGGACTCTTCCTGTAAACATAGGCCTCAAACTCCCAAATATTGAATTTTTTAGCGTTCTCGGGAACCAACTTGAGGGGCCGATTCCTCCCTCGATATCGAATTGGACAAAGCTAGATAAGCTTCAACTTGGAGACAACAGATTTTCAGGGAAAGTGCCTTCTTTAGAAAATTCGCATAAGCTTAGTTGGCTTCAAGTCTATATTAATCAGCTTGGAAGTGGAAAACCTGAAGACTTGAGCTTCCTTTGCTCGTTAACTAACAGCACCAAATTGCTGTACGTGGGCATTCACGAGAACAAGTTTGGTGGGGTGCTACCAAAATGCATAGGTAATTTATCCACCACTCTCACAACATTTACTTTAAACGATAATCGAATATCCGGTGAGATTCCAGAAGAAATAGGGAATTTTGTCAACCTAAGATTATTCGTCATGGGGCTCAACCCGCTTTCAGGTGTTATTCCCTCAGATTTGGGGAATCTACAAAATCTAGGGATATTGCACTTAAGTTATAGCAACTTGGAGGGGACTATCCCATCTTCTTTGGGAAATCTAACCAAGTTGATTGCACTATATCTTAGTGGGAATCACTTTCATGGGCAAATTCCTTCACATCTATCAAACTGCCAGTCTCTTAATCTGCTTGACTTGTCTGACAACAATTTGAGTGGTGCCATACCCCCACAGCTTATAGGTCTCTCATCATTAGCGATTATTCTGAATTTGTCTCGTAACCATCTGACTGGGATTCTACCCACAGAAGTTGGCAACTTAAGAGCTTTGACTGCTTTGGACATCTCGGACAATTTATTGGTAGGTGAAATCCCAACTAGTTTAGGTGATTGCACTGCATTGACATCATTGAGAATGGGGGGCAACTTCTTCCAAGGGTCGATTCCTCAATCAATCAGATCGTTAGGAGGCATTGAAGAACTAGATCTTTCACATAACAATTTGTCGGGTCAAATTCCAGAATTTTTATCGGTATTTCGTTTCTTGAAACTTCTGAATTTATCATACAATAAATTTGAAGGCATGCTGCCACGTGAAGGAGTCTTTAAGAATGCCACCGGTACTTATATTGTTGGGAATAATGAGCTCTGCGGTGGATTGCCAGAATTTCACCTACCCAATTGCATCACCAAAAGATCCAATCGCAAAAAGGTCAATTTAGCGATATTTTCTGCTTCTGTTACTTTTGGAATTCTTGGAATATCTCTTATTCTTGCTTTCACGTACTATTGTTGGTCGAAGAAGAAAGTAAATGAACCAGCTTCAAGTTCAATGGATGATTTAGGTTTGAACGTAGGTTTGAACGTATCTTATGGAACACTCCTAAAAGCAACCAATGGTTTTTCTTCAACAAACTTGATCGGTGTTGGAAGCTTTGGTTCTGTTTACAAGGGGATACTTGAGGACAATGGAGCCGCTGCCGCTGTGAAGGTGCTTCATTTAGTTCGTCATGGTGCTTTGAAGAGCTTCATAGCTGAGTGTGAGGCATTAAAGAATATCAAACATCGAAATCTTTTGAAGATATTAACAGTTTGTTCAGGTAGTGATTATCAAGGAAATGATTTTAAGGCCTTAGTTTATCAATTCATGGAAAATGGAAGCCTGGAGCAATGGCTCCACCCAAAGGCAACATCATTTCATGGGAATGAGCTTATGAAAAAATTGAATTTCATTCAGAGGATAAATATTGCTATTGATGTTGCTTCCGCACTGGATTATCTTCATCACCAGTGCCACATTCCCATCATTCATTGTGATCTAAAGCCAAGTAATATCCTCTTAGATGCCGAGATGGTCGCACATGTTGGGGACTTTGGATTGGCGAAATTCCTTCTTGGATCATCCCTCGAGACTGTAGATAATCAGATGAGCTCAGTGGGTCTTAGAGGGACAATTGGTTATGCTCCACCAGGTAATCTCTCTCTCTCTCTCTCTCTCTCTCTCTCTCTCTCTCTCTCTCTCTCTCTCTCTCTCTCTCTCTCTCTCTCTCTGAAGTTTGGTAGCTAATGATAATGTTGTAAAATTAACACGAAAGCTAACTAGGATCTTTTCAAAGAATTAAACTAGAAACAATAAATGACATGAAAGATTAATGTGATTCGGTTTGAGTGTCAGTGCCTACATTCACAGAGAGAGCCAACAATAAATACTATATTATAATCCAAGAATTAGAGTTACAATCGCTCACATACTTGAGTGTTTTCCACATCTAAATTATACCCAAGCTTAAAGTATTTACAAATAAACAACTTAATTGGATGTAAAATTTGACAACATAAATCCGTCCGTGTTCGAAGCTCTTCGTACATCTGTCCAACACAACGTATGCTTCTTTTGCTTTGCGTTCGTACTTGTGCAGCTAGCTCACCGTGCGGCTCCTTCTTCGCTAAGGGAAAGAAAACCCACGCTTTCTTTTTCTTTTTATATGCGGCAAAACACTCCATTTTCTTTCCTTTTCTCATACTTCCTTGGCCTCACCCGTATCTTTTGTACGTCCAAGAAGGGAAGTCCTTCACTTTTGCAAGAGTTCATTGTCTCGGTCAAACTTTTCATATTTTTCTTTTCACGTGAATTTGTGCGTGTACTTTGAGATAAGAATTCTAATCCAAAATGGGAAATTGCACGGGAACTCAAACTCGAGGCATAATTTAATATATAACTCTTATAGTCTAATGCAGGTTACATTTTGATTTGATAATCCGTACTCCAATCTGACCTGCACTATAATCTAAATGTGTGGCAGAATATGCAATGGGATGTGAGGTTTCAAGAGAAGGCGACGTCTATAGTTATGGCATTCTCTTATTGGAGATGTTCACCGGGTTGAGTCCCACCGATGACACATTTAGAGACAATTTGACTCTTCATAGTTTTGTCGCAAAAGCTTTGCCTGAACGAGTGCTCGAAATTACGGACAACATTTTGCTTAATGAAAGAGAGAGCCAATTAGGCCCCCATAGTCCTAATGAGTGGCTTTCCGATAGCCATGGCATATTTCAAGAGAGTTTGGATATGGCGTATAATGTTGGAGTTGCTTGTTCGAACGAAGAGCCTAAAAGACGGATGAGCATAAGAGGAGTCGCAAATCAGCTGAATCAGATTAAGGAGAAACTCTTTGCATTGGGTTTATATGGACAAGATGAACTACTCACAGCTTATATTTAGCTGTTATACATTGAGAGTTGTTTACGCAAACGGAAGCAGACAGGTAAAATCTAAACATTTTTTTCTTAAGATGATAGTTGTTTACTATCCCTTCTGTATACATATTTAAATTAGCACAAAGCCTGTGGTGCACACACAGTTTTGAGCATCGTTGGTTCACTTATAACCAGTTTCGGTGCCATAGTATTTTAAGATGAATAGAAGATAAATTGCCTTGCTTTTTTTTTTTTCATATGCACGGTGCTCATCAAGACGAATTGCAGTTAATTAGCTATTGGAAATCTTATTCAAAAGGAAGCTTGGTTTCTGCAGATTGACTAGGAATGGCCCACCGTTGCTTTGTTTCGAAATTATCCAATGTCAAGAATTGATCTCTGTTCCTAAAGCTATGTTCACTCAGCTATGGGCGATATTGACGTGTAGCTTTCAGATTCAGCATTCCAGCATGGGGTAATTCAAGGATACGTATTGACGGTTGATGTGCACGGTAGGAAGTTGTGGAATAGTGTAACTTGAGTGGATTGCATTTTCCTAAGGGTGCAAGTGCAAATTAATCAGCACTGCTATTTCTGAAGTTTGCTTATGTCTACTTTAATTTTCGCATTTTGGTAAAGTTACTATATCACCTTTTTTCTATTATGGGAAAGCACCTAAGCACTTACGCATAAAACTAGTCATAGATATATCGTTATCATTTTTTTAGAAGGGGATTCGTTTAATCACATGGATAAGCAACTTTTAAAGGTATAAATCACTAGCCACCTATATGCTTAGGCCTACTTCTCTAAAAAATAGTGATTATAGCGTGGAAAAAGTTTCTAAATTTAAAGAGTTTGAAAGTACAGTTACTCTGTCCTCAAGTATGCCTTACCATGGCATTCCTGTCGCTTTTTACATGTCTTCGCCTATCTTCATTCACCTTTCGATTTTTAATACATACTCTTAGATGAATGAAGATCTTGCAAATCCTAAAATCTCTTATGGAGTTTCTAGAGGAGACTCACCCAACTGACATTTTTGAAGTGCAAGGCTAAGATTCTATTACAATCTATGCTCTGTCAGATTGCTTTCTCCCCATGAGCATGCGGACGAAATTTTGTTGATGATGCCTCAAATAGGGACACTTATTATGTTTATATTGGTCCTCTTATGCCTCTAAGCTGCACGTGAGATCGATCTAATTTAGTGAGAATATATAAATGGAGATATCAAAATGACATTCACTTTTTTAAGTTCCTCTGTTGAATTTTTAGTCGGGAACTTGCAAAGAGACAGATTGATGACCTCACAAAGACAGGCTTGGTTTTGTAAGAGTATACTTATTCGATAATTAATATTAAACCACGCATGACGGTGGTCCTACTAAAATCTCATATGGTATCGAGTAAGAGGTTCTGAGTTCAAATCTTTCCGGGCCCCATTTGCCTTCCCAATTAAATATGTCCATGCTTAGTAAGCAAAAAGATTATACTAAGCGTGCGGGGAGTGTTAGAGTAATTAAATATTAAACCACGTCTTCATCTAACGGTTTAAGCTTTTAGAACAGACATATACAGCTTGCAGAGAAGGTTCGTTTCCAACCTCATTGAACTATATAGAATATGTCATAGCATGAAACGATTCAATTTAGATGTTGTATCATTCACATCAGTTGCCTAAGGGAAGTTTGACTGCATGACACTTTGCAGGAAGGGGATATCCTTTGAAAAAACGGTGCCTTAGACAAAATTTCCTTTTCGAGCTTGGATCTTCAATGCATGAAACCATTCTAACCAGAAAATTCAATTGTCATTTATTAACATCTTGTATATCCAGAATTCTTGCACAAGACATTTTTAATTAATATCATCTGGTCATGCATAAGTTGCCCTGAAGTGGCCTCTCAATTGGTAATTCATAAGATAAGTGCATGGTATGTTGCACCGAGGTAGCAAATTTAGGTTGGCATCAGGACCATTTTCATGCTGCTGTTACTTTCAGCTTTACTTAAATTCTCATGTTCTGTCTAATGATAGGTGGCAAGAATGAGCATCCAATTACGGGTTCCATCCAAGTATACATGCTTGATCTTACTTCAAATTGTTCATGAGAAAATAACATCTGATATAATACGAGAGGTACGATAAAGCACGATGTGACCTAGTAGTTTCTACCGGTGTCCTATAGGCTTAAACCGTTCTTGCGTCTGACCAAAACAACTGTTTTTGCTATACCCGATTTAAAAATAAGTATGACTGCTGCAGAATTGCTAAGCTTTTCAATTTTTTTTCTGTAGTCTGTCTGTTAATAGCACCAGACATGTTCTAAAAGTGAGATTTAAATAGAAGAAATCAATATATATATATTTTAAATATATATGGTGAAAGTAAGAACCAAAAACTGTCTTAATCAAATGTACCTTGACATGCTCCAATCTCATCCATACACTTGTAGGTAGCAACGGTTGGAATATATTAGAAGTGATGAAGCTGATTTCAAATCTCTAATTCTCTTCATCAACGTAAGCTCATTATCTTCACATTGAAATAGGTGCCTGAAAAAGTGAATTTCAAGACGATGCTGGACTCAAAAGGGCCAGAGGGTAGTTTTGCTTGGAAGTTTGGGTAAAGGGTTCAGTAACTTGACCGTAAATGGAAACATCCACCAGTGTGCAGTCATTCTTATGCAAACTCTGCACCGGCCTCACTTGTTCCGGGTGCTTTGGTTGTTAACATCTGTGACTGTTGTTCATGTCTCTAGCAATATTGATCAGAATGTATAGAGATCTGTGTTACGTCATGTTGGTGATTGGGTTAGTTTGTTCTCTTCCTTGTGTGTATCATAGTCAACAGTGATGTATAGTTTCTCAGAGGTGGACCACACGCAGATTGCAGACATCACTTCAGACATCAGTTTTTTCCCCCCTGAATGAATGACAGGAGAAAGTCATTTTGATTGCAGGAGAAAATTATTTCATTAAAGAATAGATTGAACCTGAGATGGCTTAATGTTGGATGTGTTTACTTTGAAGTCTGATAGATTTTGATGACTAATGCAAGTAAAGGTGGAGTGAACACATAATGGAAGTGGAAATGTGACCCAGTGGTAATAAACAGAATTTCACCTCGTCCCTTACAAAATTGTCACCATTCTGTCTGTGAATCCACCTATCACACAGAAGTCAGGAGTCAATACTATGCCAGAGCCTTCCTTGTTGAGCTTTTTCTTGCCCTCTTTCTTGGCCATGGCTATGTTTCCAACCACGGTTATTCTTCTCAACTCTGAGCTTCTTAATTTGAGGTTTCACCTTGTTTCGAACCTGGTCTGTCTTAACAAAATTGGACATTCAACAAAACACAAAGGAAGGAGATATGGCCAAATAACTATTATTGAGGGACAGCCAAAATGCAGTTGCCTGGGAGTGCAAATTGTTGTATTTAATATCAACAAGTGAGCACCCACAAAAGCAAACTGGTGAGAGCAGGTGCGTGAGAAATAGCAGCTGGTCTGCATAAAGCAAGACATTCACATTCACAACTATAGCTTACTGGAGGTTACGCCAAATAGGAATCAAATTCAAGGCTTTTTACTTGATGAGGCATAATGTTCCATCGTTTTTATCATCTGAGATCTGACTAATCGCTTGCTTGGAGTTATGCAAATGCACTGGCCGCCAAAGGCATTTGCCTAATGATTTACGAAGTAATGCACGATACTGTAAACTTTGGTTTCTCTTTCGTTATCCTAAACCATGTCGCGAACGGCCAATCATTGTTCAAAGACTGTTTAAATCCCTGGAGAGACATTCCTTGGTTTCTAACGCCAGTGGTCATCCTTCCTGTGCATGTATGAGAGCTTTGACGCTCCACATCCCACGAGTAACAAACAAATAAATCTTGTTTAGCTCTATGAAGCATCCACATAATTGTGTCATCTCAAGTCATGCGCTTTTATCCGATCTATTTTCATCAGCGTCAAGTGGCAAGAGGAGGCTGTTTTCAGGTACTTGGACTCACAAAGAAAACCAGTTCAGCTGGTCCTCGAAATTCCAACAAAGAAACTTCCATCTCTGCGCAGTCTCATCCCTGGTTTCCTGAGCTCATTGTCTCCGATTTTAAACGCCTGCATCAGCCATTTGAACCACATTTCCTAATCTTATGTATAACTCAGTCACCTCAAGTGCCTCCATCCCAGAAACTCCATGATCCTCTGACCCAAGATGAAGGTAAAAACACCCGTTGCGGTGATGAATTTTTCTTCGAAATCACACTCTGTTTTCTCGCACACAATTACACCAAAAGCATTCATTGCTTATTTGACTTTTCACTTTAGCCATTGGTTTTGGTTGATTGCAGCTCTCAGCTGGATGCAGAACAAGCTCAACGTCAGACAGGAAGAGTCTACTTGTAAAGCCAATGCAATTTCAGCAACCCTTAACTGTAAGCTCTATTTTCGCATGTCTTTCTAATGGATAATTCTTAACTTATCGCGTGCATTGCAAAAGCTGAGAAAGCTAAGATGGAATCATTCTCTTCTTGGGGGAGAACCAAAGGCCTTTCATCGGTCTTTTTCTCTCCGCTGGCTCATCCGACATTAGCATGCTGCCATGTGTACCCTACACTCACTGACGTAAATGCGCTGTCAAGTGTGAACAGGGGCTTTAAAGGCCCGTGAACGTGCTTATCATTTCCTTACTTGTCTGCATGATTTTATTATAACAACAAGGCGTCTCCCGGAGCCTACAGCTTTTGTATCACTATAAAAGGTATCTACTTTTCCAATCCACATACTTCATATTTTCGAGGATTTCAAAAAAATTGTATTTATTCCACTTCTAGAGAACACGAGTTTTGTTGAGAGTATACCAAATCGATGCAGATGTTCATGAACTTCATATCGTCTCTTGCATTGGCGAATTTAATGTCTTGTTAAACCTTAATGGTTCAGATCAGGTGAAACTAGAACCACCGGACTGGCCGGATGGATTACTTGCAATTGGGACTTTCGGGAGAAGTGATTTCAGGGGTAGCAGGGAAAACCACAATCGCCAAGAGAAATCATTTTCATCCGAAGATTTGTTGGATTTTACTCCAGAGGAAGTTGGAAACCTACAGATAGAGCAAACCAAGCTTTTGTACCTTAAATCAAGCAGCGAAACAGACAAACATGTCATGGACCTCCTGCTGGATAGATTCCTCAGCTGTCCCTCGAGCTTGGAGGTGGACCTCAGAATCAGCAGTTCGCTTCACAGTGATTTAGATGACTATGATGATGAAGAGATCGATATTGAGCGGACCATCAGTGTGATACTTCGTAGATGCGAGGAAATGTGCGCAAATAGTAACAAGAAGGCAAGTGGTTAAAAGTCATCATCTTTCCTTATAAAGAAGAAATTTGTCAGCAGAAGTGGATTTATGCCAGCACCCAGTTTGAGAGGTACACTTCAAGAATCAAGGATGGAGAAGGTCTGTCCTTTAATCAATACTTAAAAGTTTCTGCATCAAAACCATGAATTGAACTTTACGGTCATTAGAAATTCATGGATTATAGATAATGTAACACTCTCTAGTCTTTGTCACAACTTCGCACGCCAGATGGTGTAGCGTTTACCTACCAAAACATAACCTCTCCTACTCAAGGTCCAATTTCATATTTGTCTAAGTTGCCATTTAAGTTGGCTTCTAGATGTGATACTTAGTAAGAGATTCTTTCAAAGCCTTGTTTTATCCCATCAGATAAGAATGAGATAACCTTCGTTTATTCTTGTACTCATTCAACTGTCATGTTTATCTTGCGCTGTTTCATTCTTGATAACTCTACTTTATATAGAGTTTAATTATTATTTTAGACTTACTATTTGCTTAGTTTTAATTGAATTTGACGTCTACTTTATTTATTTTAATTAATTTTTGTAGGTAATTGAAGTTAAAGGGAGCTTAGGATGTAATTTCCCAGCTTTCCACACATTTTGTCCTCCTAAGCCGCGTGAAAGTATCCAAAACAATCCAATTGTTCCTAAACCATGTAGAAGCTTACCAAATTGGAGATCAAAGCCATGCAAATCTGAAATCATGAAGGATCAAGCCTATTTTGGGAAGAAAATCAAAATCCAAGCTAAAAAAGGAGTTTATTATTGGGAGGAGTCCTAATTTGGAAGAACCTTTAATTGCAATCCTATTCTAGTGTGATTAAGGTTTCTTGGAAAGCAAGAGAAGGTCTATATAAAGGCCATTAAACGTGATTTCAGAAAATCAAGGGAGAGAAAAAGAAGAAGAAGAAGAAGGAGGCAACTTAAAAATCAAGCCTGAATTATTCTTGGTGAATCTGTTCTAGTTCTTCATCATGTTTAGTTTAGTTATTGTTTTTAGTTTAATGTTCATTATGTTCTAGACTACTTGTTGTTAGAGCTACGATGTAGCTTAACTATGATTGATTAATTTTCAAGACTTGTTTATGCAATTCTAGATCTCATATGTGTGAGTTATATATCATGTTCTTAATGCTTTTAAGTGCTTGATCACCACTTGAATGATTTTTGTTGCATGCTGAAATCGAAAGGAGATTCTATGCGAGTGCTTTATGATATATAGCCATGAATTTAACTTAGATGGAGATACATTAGGTTGTTTGTGTGGTTTCAGTAGTAGGTAAATCGAGGGTGATTTATTGAATCTAGGAACATTCATAGATTTTAATGCACTTAGGTCTACTTTAATTCACATGGACCAAGTGTGGGTTGCTAAATCTAAGTAGGGTTGCTATACCGGACCAATGATAGTAATTTAAATTAGGAAGTTCTATCATCACACTATGATTTCAATTTGATTGCATGACGAGCTTGGTTAATTAATCTTGATTGGTTAAGTGAAATCTGATGCTCTAACGTTTTTAATTCTTGATCAAAGTCCATTGCTCCTTGTTTCTTTATGTTCGAAATTTCTAGGTTTAGTTTGTGAATTTTTATTTTCAGTTTTGGTTTGCTGCCTTGGTTAATTTAGCCTTCAGAAATTTCAATCTTAATAGGTTAATTTAGTTTTCTTTAGAATTTCGATTGCTTTATTAAATCTTTAATTGGTTAGATAAAGTTAAGAATTGTTCACCTTTAGTAAGTAATTTGATTAATTTGTCTACAATCTTTGTGGGAATACTACTTTAATTCATCACTTTTTTACTTGTTCGATATGTACACTTGCGTTGCCAATTTAGAGAACAATTCTCAGCACAAAGTTTTAATTTAAAAGAAGTCAAATTAATTAGCTAACCCTTCCTTCTCATGTTACAGCTTTAAGGACAAAATGCATCTCGAGCTTCATTGGTCAAGAAATACATGGAGGATAAACCAATGCCAAAATCAGTAGAGGAAGAAAACAACAGGGAAGAAATTAGCGATGGAAGCAAATGGGTCAAGACAGATTCGACTGTAAGTAGTTGCATTATAAGGAGTAAATTGACAAACTTCGTAATCTTAGTTGTACAGCCACTCTTAGATTACTTGTTCATGGGTCGTGCTGCGCTTCCAATACTGCATGGATGCTTTAATTAAATGAAGCATCTTGATCGGCAGCCACCTTCCCAGACAAAAACGGAAGTTCAAATTATGTTACTTTCAGGATCACTTGGGTCAAATACTAACACTGAAAAACGAAAGGCCATGTCCATGTTTCTGAGTCGCCTCAAAAAGTTACTGACCGACTTACCTTTCAATCCAAGGTTTCAGATTTTGTTTTGGAGATGTAGAATCTGCCTTCATCTGCTGCAACGTCAAAGTCACAAGGTGAGAGGACCCTCAAAGTTCCTTTTAAAAAATGAAATGCAAACTCGTTTCTGTGACCATTTTCTACACATTTTTACCTATGCAGATAAACTCTATTATGTATGTTTATTTCAGTTCATTGGAGATGAGTGTATATCGTCCTGCAATGGTATGAAGTTTCAGAGGTTTGTCGGAGGACCAAGTATAGCCAGGAGCATCCAGAAGGAACGATATGCTCCAGCAATCGAAAGCATCAACAATTTTATTAGCTATACCATTGCAATTGGAAGAGCTTCCACGCATTGTTCAGGGTTCTTCCATGTTACTCATTATCTCATGCATCGATGGGCTAGTGGTGGTTCTCTTTACTGTATGCCAGCGAAGCTAGATGAACCTTCATTATCACCTAATTTTCCACACTTCTTGCAAATTTTTGGTTTATGCGGGGCACTTCGGGTCGGTAGTGGAGATTATAGCATAAGTTGATCACAAGGAGCAACTTTTCAAGGCAAGGATGTCCTCCCCGCAACAAAAACGAATACACCCAGATGTATATAAATTTACATCAGCGACGGCTACCGCAGCATATATTGCCCGACAAAAAAGTTCGCCCATGAAAAAAGATCGGTGAGATCAGCTTCGCCGGTGTCGAATGATTACTTTAACTGTCATTTATCGGTGGTTGTTCGTGCGGTTGCGTCATGTCGCCGACACGTGTTTATGTCTATGTTCGTGATGTGGTGCCGCATGTCATATTATCATTGGTGAAAACTCTATTTGGCTCGTTAAACATAACATAACCTAATACGATTATAGATATAAGTAAGTATTTTGCATTAATTGTGTCAAATAATTATTACTCGTTATTATACGATAAAAATAGTCAATTGCATAATACGAGCATAAATAGAGTTATGTCGACAAATATGATTATTAAATCCCCTTTAGTGAATATTAGAGGGAAAATGCTAGCTAGGTTTTAATGTTTCCGGTATGTCTGTGGCTAAGAATGTAAATGCTTAACACTAATCTTAACGCCAGGAGAATTCTACACCACCCATTAGAAATTGTTCAGAGTAGAAGTTAAAATTACAAACCCATTAATTTCTCTGTTCATTTTCTGTGGAAGGAGGGAAACGATTTTGGCATTTGATTTTGTTTTTGTTCCTTCTATAATAGAGAGGTATATATATAACACCGCTTTGATCAAAACCGACATTATGAACACCGACAAAAAAAATTGACCTTAATCAAAATAATTTTTTTTAGTGAGTGCCTCGAGATACTTATATTGAGAATGGCAAGTTTTTCTTAATTGGATATTTTAAAAACGCGTCCTGTTAACAAAACCCTTATCGGAATAAGCAGCCGATGTGCTCAGCTCCTGATTTTCAAGCTTTGGAGATCCCCACTGCTTCTTCCTCATAATGTTGGGACAGACCTTTGTGATCAATTTTATCTATTGCAGTGGTTGTACGTCTCTCTCTCTCTCTCTTATTCATTGCGGTGGTTGTACGTCTCTCTCTCTCGCTTTCTTATTGCAATCACCCGTGCAGATTATCCAACCTAACATTTACATATAGGAAAGTCATGGAACAATTTGGGAAAAAACCATGGTAATCTTTACTCTGCACCTTTGACGATTCCTTTTATTAAATAGGGATAAGTGCATTCAAAGTCCTAAAACTTGTCACGAAAGTGCAATTGAGTCCTAAAACTTTCAAAAAGTGCAAACAAGTCCTAAAACTTGTCACGAAAGTGCACTTGAGTCCTAAAACTTTCAAAAAGTGCAAACAAGTCCTAAAACTTGTCACGAAAGTGCAAACAAGTCCTAAAACTTGTCAAATTGGTTCAATCAAGTCCTTTCATTGATTGTACATTTTGAAAGTTTTAGAACTTGTTTGCACTTTCGTGACAAGTTTTAGGACTTGTTTGCACTTTTTGAAAGTTTTAGGACTCAAGTGCACTTTCGTGACAAGTTTTAGGACTTGTTTGCACTTTTTGAAAGTTTTAGGACTCAATTGCACTTTCGTGATAAGTTTTAGGACTTCTAGTGTACTTATCCCTATTAAATAAGTCAAAGGGTAGTTTGTCCATTTATGTATTGACATCGTGACAATGTCTTGCCTTTTGCTATATAAAATGCTGGAAAGAGACTTACAATGACAACTTTAAGGTTTCATTTGCGATGAAATTTCATAAATTGATTTCTTGATATTCATTCTCGAAGGAGTACCATGGTTCTGGAAATTCTATTTGACAGTATTCAACCACTGATAATGAAGGTTATTATAAAGTTCGATCTTCTTTTTAAGAAATGATATTTTGTAAATAAATTCCTCTGCAACATCCCATAGGTAGAATAGTGAATAGCACATTTTTTCTTATATATTTTCTTTATTATTTTTATTTTTTAAATAACCGAGTTTTTTGCTGCTTTTTCCATGGATCATGATGAAAGTGAAGATTATAATTAAAGAATCTTATCTTCTGTTTTGAAGTTTTGTTTTTCTTGCAAATGTAATGGAGATGTACTCATTTCAACAAGTGGAAGACGAAAATGAGAAGTAAGGATTACCCGTTTTTACAATGCCATAATTCTGTGGCTTTCTATCGACTCATATTGACTTTTCCATGCTACCTATCTCGACCAAATTGATGGTTAGATAGGTGACGTCCAATAAAGAACAATGTGGAAAGAACAAGTTGATGATGATCTTAGTGAAGATTCTGGAGGCGAATAGAATTGCCTGTGTAGGCGAGGCATCCAATTGGGTTTTAATTTTTACATTTGGATCTAACGTAGTTTGATGCTATGGAGCAGTGCCTTTTGCCCTGTAATTTACAATCAAGCAGAGAAAGATCCGAGAGTCAAGAAGAGGCCGCACCAGTTGTTGAAAAAGCAATGGAAAGAAGCTTCATATGTCACATTTAGCCCCAACCACTCGGAGGAGAAAAATGTGCCAGGCATAGACATGTATTCTTTAATAGAGTTAAATTCTATTAGGGACCATATCCATAATTGGAGGTTGGCCACAAGAGTGTATATGGTGGTTGTCTCTGAATTTGGTGCGATGGAGCTTTCATGCAGAGCAGTAATAAATTACTTTATTAATGCCCCTACTGTAGTTTCAAATAATTCATGAAGATATTAGTGTGGCAGACGGTGCGCAATCATAAGCATCGAAATTTGTGGCATCTGCGGATCGATGGTTGTGATTGATCTGATCCGCGTGGGATCCCGGGCGGACTGGGTCCAAGCAAGAGTACGGCCCCACGACACTGGCAGATGGGTATGCATCAGATTTACTCTCTTGCATATATGGCCAGACGATATCCTTTTAAGAGGCTGAGCAAATGGTGGACGAAGGGGTTGGCCGGCTTCGCAGTTCCATGATTACTGAGGTCCACATTATCTACTTCAACGATCTCTTTGTTTCTTCTTGCCTTGCTTTCATATGCACCCGCTTCCTTGGGCTTTGGAGTCATGAAACTCGTAAGCATGAGTTTTGCAGAGTTTCAATCGTGCCGCTTGCTTCTTGGTATTGCTCTTGCAATGTACTTTAACCAAGTTTCCTCCACCACCAACGAAACAGACCGACTAGCGCTGCTCGCATTTAAGGCCGGCATAGCTGGAGATCCTTTGGGCGTGCTCAACTCATGGAACAACAGCATTGGGTTTTGCCGGTGGTATGGCGTTACGTGCAGCTGGAGACACCAGAGGGTCACGGCCGTGGACTTGCGATCACAAGGACTTTTCGGATCAATATCACCTCATATTGGGAATCTCAGCTTCTTAAGGGAATTATGGCTCCAAAACAACAGTTTCGGTCATGAAATCCCTCAGCAAGTCAGCCAGCTACGCCGCCTTCGTGTCTTACGACTAGACAACAATTCATTGGCCGGTGAAATTCCCAAAAACATATCGGCCTGCTCTAACCTTGTTGGCCTCGTCCTTCAATACAACCAACTAAGTGGAGAAATTCCTACTGAAGTCGGTTCATTATCCAAGCTACGGTTTTTTTATTTAACTTCTAATAATCTCACTGGGATTGTGCCTTCCTCCATAGGGAACTTATCTTCACTAGAGATCCTTTATTTATCTCGGAACAACTTGGGCGGGAGCATTCTACAAGTCCTAGGCCACCTGACAAACTTTCAAATCATTGCCTTTGCAGGAAACAAATTGTCGGGTACAATTCCATCTTCTTTACTCAATCTCTCTTCGCTAGTTCAGTTTGATGCCGGAAACAACCGAATACAGGGGACTCTTCCTGTAAACATAGGCCTCAAACTCCCAAATATTGAATTTTTTAGCGTTCTCGGGAACCAACTTGAGGGGCCGATTCCTCCCTCGATATCGAATTGGACAAAGCTAGATAAGCTTCAGCTTGGAGACAACAGATTTTCAGGGAAAGTGCCTTCTTTAGAAAATTCGCATAAGCTTAGTTGGCTTCAAGTCTATATTAATCAGCTTGGAAGTGGAAAACCTGAAGACTTGAGCTTCCTTTGCTCGTTAACTAACAGCACCAAATTGCTGTACGTGGGCATTCACGAGAACAAGTTTGGTGGGGTGCTACCAAAATGCATAGGTAATTTATCCACCACTCTCACAACATTTACTTTAAGCGATAATCGAATATCCGGTGAGATTCCAGAAGAAATAGGGAATTTTGTCAACCTAAGATTATTCGTCATGGGGCTCAACCCGCTTTCAGGTGTTATTCCCTCAAATTTGGGGAATCTACAAAATCTAGGGATATTGCACTTAAGTTATAGCAACTTGGAGGGGACTATCCCATCTTCTTTGGGAAATCTAACCAAGTTGATTGCACTATATCTTAGTGGGAATCACTTTCATGGGCAAATTCCTTCACATCTATCAAACTGCCAGTCTCTTAATCTGCTTGACCTGTCTGACAACAATTTGAGTGGTGCCATACCCCCACAGCTTATAGGTCTCTCATCATTAGCGATTATTCTGAATTTGTCTCGTAACCATCTGACTGGGATTCTACCCACAGAAGTTGGCAACTTAAGAGCTTTGACTGCTTTGGACATCTCGGACAATTTATTGGTAGGTGAAATCCCAACTAGTTTAGGTGATTGCACTGCATTGACATCATTGAGAATGGGGGGCAACTTCTTCCAAGGGTCGATTCCTCAATCAATCAGATCGTTAGGAGGCATTGAAGAACTAGATCTTTCACACAACAATTTGTCGGGTCAAATTCCAGAATTTTTATCGGTATTTCGTTTCTTGAAACTTCTGAATTTATCATACAATAAATTTGAAGGCATGCTGCCACGTGAAGGAGTCTTTAAGAATGCCACCGGTACTTATATTGTTGGGAATAATGAGCTCTGCGGTGGATTGCCAAAATTTCACCTACCCAATTGCATCACCAAAAGATCCAATCGCAAAAAGGTCAATTTAGCGATATTTTCTGCTTCTGTTACTTTTGGAATTCTTGGAATATCTCTTATTCTTGCTTTCACCTACTATTGTTGGTCGAAGAAGAAAGTAAATGAACCAGCTTCAAGTTCAATGGATGATTTAGGTTTGAACGTAGGTTTGAACGTATCTTATGGAACACTCCTAAAAGCAACCAATGGTTTTTCTTCAACAAACTTGATCGGTGTTGGAAGCTTTGGTTCTGTTTACAAGGGGATACTTGAGGACAATGGAGCCGTTGCCGCTGTGAAGGTGCTTCATTTAGTTCGTCATGGTGCTTTGAAGAGCTTCATAGCTGAGTGTGAGGCATTAAAGAATATCAAACATCGAAATCTTTTGAAGATATTAACAGTTTGTTCAGGTAGTGATTATCAAGGAAATGATTTTAAGGCCTTAGTTTATCAATTCATGGAAAATGGAAGCCTGGAGCAATGGCTCCACCCAAAGGCAACATCATTTCATGGGAATGAGCTTATGAAAAAGTTGAATTTCATTCAGAGGATAAATATTGCTATTGATGTTGCTTCCGCACTGGATTATCTTCATCACCAGTGCCACATCCCCATCATTCATTGTGATCTAAAGCCAAGTAATATCCTCTTAGATGCCGAGATGGTCGCACATGTTGGGGACTTTGGATTGGCGAAATTCCTTCTTGGATCATCCCTCGAGACTGTAGATAATCAGATGAGCTCAGTGGGTCTTAGAGGGACAATTGGTTATGCTCCACCAGGTAATCTCTCTCTCTCTCTCTCTCTCTCTCTCTCTCTCTCTCTCTCTCTCTCTCTCTCTCTCTCTCTCTCTCTCTCTCTCTCTCTCTCTCTCTCTCTCTCTCTCTCTCTCTCTCTCTCTCTCTCTCTCAGCGAAGTTTGGTAGCTAATGATAACGTTGTAAAATTAACACGGAAGCTAACTAGGATCTTTTCAAAGAATTAAACTAGAAACAATAAATGACATGAAAAATTAATGTGATTCGGTTTGAGTGTCAGTGCCTACGTTCACAGAGAGAGCTAACAATAAATAATATATTATAATCCAAGAATTAGAGTTACAATCGCTCACATATTCGAGTGTTTTCCACATCTAAATTATACCCAAGCTTAAAGTATTTACAAATAAACAACTTAATTGGATGTAAAATTTGACAACATAAATCCGTCCGTGTTCGAAGCTCTTCGTACATCTGTCCAACACAACGTATGCTTCTTTTGCTTTGCGTTCGTACTTGCGCAGCTAGCTCACCGTGCGGCTCCTTCTTCGCTAAGGGAAAGAAAACCCACGCTTTCTTTTTCTTTTTATATGCGGCAAAACACTACATTTTCTTTCGTTTTCTCATACTTCCTTGGCCTCACCCGTATCTTTTGTACGTCCAAGAAGGGAAGTCCTTCACTTTTGCAAGAGTTCATTGTCTCGGTCAAACTTTTCATATTTTTCTTTTCACGTGAATTTGTGCGTGTACTTTGAGATAAGAATTCTAATCCAAAATGGGAAATTGCACGGGAACTCAAACTCGAGACATAATTTAATATATAACTCTTATAGTCTAATGCAGGTTACATTTTGATTTGATGATCCGTACTCCAATCTGACCTGCACTATAATCTAAATGTGTGGCAGAATATGCAATGGGATGTGAGGTTTCAAGAGAAGGCGACGTCTATAGTTATGGCATTCTCTTATTGGAGATGTTCACTGGGTTGAGTCCCACTGATGATTCATTTAGAGACAATTTGACTCTTCATAGTTTTGTCGCAAAAGCTTTGCCTGAACGAGTGCTCGAAATTACGGACAACATTTTGCTTAATGAAAGAGAGAGCCAATTAGGCCCCCATAGTCCTAATGAGTGGCTTTCCGATAGCCATGGCATATTTCAAGAGAGTTTGGTTATGGTGTATAATGTTGGAGTTGCCTGTTCGAACGAAGAGCCTAAAAGACGGATGAGCATAAGAGGAGTCGCAAATCAGCTGAATCAGATTAAGGAGAAACTCTTTGCATTGGGTTTATATGGACAAGATGAACTACTCACAGCTTATATTTAGCTGTTATACATTGAGAGTTGTTTACGCAAACGGAAGCAGACAGGTAAAATCTAAACATTTTTTTCTTAAGATGATAGTTGTTTACTATCCCTTCTGTATACATATTTAAATTAGCACAAAGCCTGTGGTGCACACAGAGTTTTGAGCATCGTTGGTTCACTTCTAGCCAGTTTCGGTGCCATAGTATTTTAAGATGAATAGAAGATAAATTGCCTTGCTTTTTTTTTTTTTTCATATGCACGATGCTCATCAAGACGAATTGCAGTTAATTAGCTATTGGAAATCTTATTCAAAAGGAAGCTTGGTTTCTGCAGATTGACTAGGAATGGCCCACCGTTGCTTTGTTTCGAAATTATCCAATGTGAAATTATCCAATGTCAAGAACTGATCTCTGTTCCTAAAGCTATGTTCAGTCAGCTATGGGCGATATTGACGTGTAGCTTTTAGATTCAGCATTCCAGCATGGGGTAATTCAAGGATACGTATTGACGGTTGATGTGCACGGTAGGAAGTTGGGGAATTGTGTAACTTGAGTGGATTGCATTTTCCTAAGGGTGCAAGTGCAAATTAATCAGCACTGCTATTTCTGAAGTTTGCTTATGTCTACTTTAATTTTCGCATTTTGGTAAAGTTACTATATCACCTTTTTTTCTATTATGGGAAAGCACCTAAGCACTTACTCATAAAACTAGTCATAGATATATCGTTATCATTTTTTTAGAAGGGGATTCGTTTAATCACATGGATAAGCAACTTTTAAAGGTATAAATCACTAGCCACCTATATGCTTAGGCCTACTTCTCTAAAAAATAGTGATTATAGCGTGGAAAAAGTTTCTAAATTTAAAGAGTTTGAAAGTACAGTTACTCTGTCGTCAAGTATGCCTTACCATGGCATTCCTGTCGCTTTTTACATGTCTTCCCCTATCTTCATTCACCTTTCGATTTTTAATACATACTCTTAGACGAATGAAGATCTTGCAAATCCTAAAATCTCTTATGGAGTTTCTAGAGGAGACTCACCCAACTGACATTTTTGAAGTGAAAGGCTAAGATTCTATTACAATCTATGCTCTGTCAGATTGCTTTCTCCCCATGAGCATGCGGACGAAATTTTGTTGATGATGCCTCAAATAGGGACACTTATTATGTTTATATTGGTCCTCTTATGCCTCTAAGCTGCACGTGAGATCGATCTAATTTAGTGAGAATATATAAATGGAGATATCAAAATGACATTCACTTTTTTAAGTTCCTCTGTTGAATTTTTAGTCGGGAACTTGCAAAGAGACAGATTGATGACCTCACAGCACAGGCTTGGTTTTGTAAGAGTATACTGTTACAGTAATTAATATTAAACCACGCATGACAGTGGTCCTACTAAAATCTCATATGGTATCAGAGTAAGAGGTTCTGAGTTCAAATCTTTCCGGGCCCCATTTGCCTTCCCAATTAAATATGTCCATGCTTAGTAAGCAAAAAGATTATACTAAGCGTGCGGGGAGTGTTAGAGTAATTAAATATTAAACCACGCCTTCATCTAACAGTTTAAGCTTTTAGAACAGACATATACAGCTTGCAGAGAAGGTTCGTTTCCAACCTCATTGAACTATATAGAATATGTCATAGCATGAAACGATTCAATTTAGATGTTGTATCATTCACATCAGTTGCCTAAGGGAAGTTCGACTGCATGACACTTTGCAGGAAGGGGATATCCTTTGAAAAAACGGTACCTTAGACAAAATTTCCTTTTCGAGCTTGGATCTTCAATGCATGAAACCATTCTAACCAGAAAATTCAATTGTCATTTATTAACATCTGTTATATCCAGAATTCTTGCACAAGACATTTTTAATTAATATCATCTGGTCATGCATAAGTTGCCCTGAAGTGGCCTCTCAATTGGTAATTCATAAGATAAGTGCATGGTATGTTGCAGCGAGGTAGCAAATTTAGGTTGGCACCAGGACCATTTTCATGCTGCTGTTACTTTCAGCTTTACTTAAATTCTCATGTTCTGTCTAATGATAGGTGGCAAGAATGAGCATCCAATTACGGGTTCCATCCAAGTATACATGCTTGATCTTACTTCAAATTGTTCATGAGAAAATAACATCTGATATAATACGAGAGGTACGATAAAGCACGATGTGACCTAGTAGTTTCTACCGGTGTCCTATAGGCTTAAACCGTTCTTGCGTCTGACCAAAACAACTGTTTTTGCTATACCCGATTTAAAAATAAGTATGACTGCTGCAGAATTGCTAAGCTTTTCAATTTTTTTTTTCTGTAGTCTGTCTGTTAATACACTACAAAAAAACATGTTTTTTGCGACGAAAAAATCGCAAAAATCCATCGCAAATCATTTTTGCGACGAATTTAGCGACGGAAAAAATTCCGTCGCTACTAGGTCGTCGCAAATTTTTGCGACGGAAAATATTAATTTTCGTCGTAAATTTCCGACGGAAAAAAAATTCGTCGCAAATTAGCCACGAACACTATCCGTCGCAAAGTTCGTCGCAAAATTCGTCACAAATAATTCGTAGCAAAATTCGTTGCAAATTTTGTCGAAAAATTCGTCGCAAAATCCGTCGCAAAATTTGTTGCAAACAATTCGTCACAAAATTCGTCGCAAATTCCGTTGCAAATGTAGTCGCAAAATTCGTCGCAAATATCGACACAAATTTCGTCACAAATTTAGTCGCAAATTTTGTCGCTAATTATTCGTCGCAAATTTGCTGCGAACTATATTCGTCGCAAAATTCGTCGCTAATTTGCCAAAAAAAAAATTTTGGTCAGTAATTTGCAGCGAACTTATTCATGGCAAAATTCGTCGCTAATTTGCCACCAAATTTTTTACATTTGCCATCAACATTATTTATGATCGAATTTAGCGACGATTTTTTATTAATTCTTTAGCGGCGAACTCTGCGACGATTATCGTTTAGGGACAAAATTAGCGACGAAATTTTATTTTTGCAATGAACTTTTGTAATTTGTGATCGTACGATAAAATAATTTATTTTATTTTTTGATTTTAAACCTAATTAAAAGCAAAATTAATTTTTGGAATTTATATTTAACATTGATTAAGCAATTAATAACATCAAAATATTATAATAATATGAAAATGAAATACATTCATCTACATTTTCTACAAGAATTGACATAAATATTTTTTTTATAGTACACATAATGAGAGAATAAATAATCTTGCACAATAATCTTTCACAATAAATAATGACGACAGATTTGAATCAAAAAAGAATATCCTGCTTTTAACGACAATCCCCATCATATAAAATACTAAACAAAACTAAAGACACGGTCCATGTGAGATGCTCACTTCCTGCTCTAGTTTTAACAAATGCCGGTTGAAATGTTGTTGCAACCTCTCATTTGCATAACTTATGCAGAATTGCTCAAAGCTATTCTTCTACAAAACACAAATTGTCTGGAATTAGACACAAAATTAGTGACATTGTGTCCACATTAAATGTTAATATATTCAGCTTCTAAAGGATACATAATGACTGTGAAGCAAGCAATCTTAATTAAGTAAAGCAACGAAGGTAAATGAAATATAGAGGAAAAATGTTGAAGTTCACTTTCAGTGATAAATCTAATAGAAGTAAAGAAACAAAGGTGCAACGTAGGTGTTCCAAATTGGTTCACTGTCCACAACTGCACACTTCCACCACAAAAAAAAACATTTATGTAAGTGACATGAGCAAAATAAAGAATGATATTGGATGCTATTTATCTTTTAGCTACCACAAAATACCTGACAACACTGCACACTTCCACCACAAGCAGCATAATGAAGTGGAGTGCTTCCAGCACCCGCAACGTGCAAAGAACAATACACATGACTTTCCACAAATGCATGATTCTAAGCAGGTATCACTGCATTCAAATAATCAATCATTTTGAATGAAGCCATAATTCTCCCACAGGGTATTTTCTAAAAAAGCAAATAACACCTGGTGCAACTCCCAAGACCAGAAGACAAAAGAGGGGTTTTGGACTCTTGATTGCCCCATTCATTCCCATCCTCAAAAACCCAAGCCCCACGACTAAAAGCAAGGAGAGGAAAAAGATGGAACCAATCACATCAGCTTTGACCCAGCTAAGCTATGTAGCCCAATACAATATGCCAATATAGGTTAACATACCAAATCACATTTGCTTCTTAGAATCTATTGCCTCTTTTCCTTTGCATTGCAAGAATACGAGTAAAATATATTCAGATGCTATGAGCTATAGTAGAGCCGATAGGAGAACAGTCAAAAGAGAGAAAAAACAGAGACAACAAAACCAAACCAGCTTAAAGCAAACATGAGAAAACCAGGAGTAGCAATATTATCGAAGACTCCGACGGAGACAATGCAATGGGCTCAAACAAAGCCACGAGATCCTCCATTTTCGCGAATATCAAAACAACCAACAAAATCAGCCCTGAATCAGATCAAACAACAAAATCAAGCTAAAGCAACAAAAGCCAAGAACAAATCAGCCCCCAATGTACACGTGCACGGCATATAGTTGTAAATATCACTTTCTTGCGGTTCCTCTTCCAACAGAACAAATCATCAGGTAAGAGGAGTGCTACCACAAACAATCAGTTTCATTTAAAAGCAACAAACAAAAAATCAGCAAGAGAACTCATTGTCCTACTTTTACAGCCATGATATAGAAGTGCCAATGAACCGATATGTTGCTACTCTATTTGTTCCCTTTTTTTTTATGGGCAGCTATTTAGCTATTTGTCTCGTAACCATTTGACGGGGGTTCTACCCACAGAAGTTGGCAAATTGAGAGCTTTGACTGCTTTGGACATCTCGGACAATTTGTTGGTAGGTGAAATCCCAATTGATTTAGGTGATTGCACTGCATTGACATCACTGAGGTTGAGGCGCAACTTCTTCCACGGGTTGATTCCTCGATCAATCAGATTGTTAGGAGGCATTGAAGAACTAGATCTTTCACGCAATAATTTATCGGGTCAGATTCCAGAATTCTTAGCGCTATTTCGTTTCCTGAAACTTTTGAATTTGTCGTACAATAATTTTCAAGGTATGCTGCCACATGAAGGAGTCTTTAAGAATACTACCGGTACTTTTATTATTGGGAACAATGAGCTCTGCGGTGGACTGCCAGAATTTCACCTCCCTAACTGCTTCTCCAAAAGCTCCAATCGCAAAAGGATCAATATGGTGATATTGTCCGCTTCTGCTATCTTTGGAGTTCTTGGAATAGCTCTTATTTTGGCTTTTATATATCTTTGTTGGTTGAAAAAGCAAGTAAATGAACCAGTTTCAAGTTCCATGGATGATTCACATCCAAACATATCTTATGAAACACTCCTAAAAGCAACCAACGGTTTTTCTTCAACGAATTTAATCGGTGTTGGAAGCTTTGGTTCTGTTTACAAGGGTATACTCGAGGACAATGGAATCACTACTGCTATGAAGGTGCTTCATTTAGTCCGTCATTAGTGCGAGGCACTAATGCAGTTTGCTCGAGTAGTGATTATCAAGGAAATGATTTTAAAGCCTTATTGTATCAATTCATGGACAATGGAAGTCTGGAACGGTGGCTCCACCCAAATGCAACATCATCTCAGGGGAATGAACATCCAAAAAAATTGAACTTCATTCAGAGGATAAATATCGTTATTGATGTTGCTTCTGCATTAGATTAACTTCATCACCAGTGCCACATCCCTATTGTTCATTGTGATCTAAAACCAAGCAATATCCTCTTAGATGCTAAGATGGTAGCACATGTTGGCGACTTCGGATTGGCAAAATTCCTTCCTGGATCATCCCTCGAAACTGTGGGTAATCAGATGAGCTCAGTGGGACTTAGAGGGACAATTGGTTATGCTCCACCAGGTAATCTCTCTCTCTCTCTCTCTCTCTCTCTCTCTCTCTCTCTCTCTCTCTCTCTCTCTCTCTCTCTCTCTCTCTCTCTCTCTCTCTCTCTCTCTCTCTCTCTCTCTCTCTCTCTCTCTCTCTCTCTCTCTCTCTCTCTCCTGTGTGAAGTTGGGTACCTAATAGTAGCTCTTATAGTCTTATGCACGTTACATTCTGATTATGCTTCGTACTCTAATTTTACCTTCACTATGATCTAAATGTGTGGCAGAATATGCAATGGGATGCGAGGTTTCAAGAGAAGGCGACGTCTATAGTTACGGCATTCTCTTACTGGAGATGCTCATTGGGTTGAGGCCCATCAATGACAAATTCATAGACAATTTGACTCTTCATAGTTTTGTCGCGGAAGGTTTGCCTGAACGAGTACTCGAAATTACGGACAACGTTTTGCTTCGAGAAAGAGAGAGCCATTTAGGTCCCGATAGTCCCCAGCAATCGCTTTTCGAAAGTGATGCCATATTTCAAGAGTGTTTGGTTATGGTGTACAATATTGGAATTGCTTGTTCATATAGTATGCCTAGAAGACGGACGAGCATCAGCGGAATTGCAAATCAGCTGCAACAGATTAGGGACAAACTCTTTGAATTGGGTTTACATGGAGAAGATGAACCACTAACGGCTTATGTTTAGTTGTTATACCTTTAAGGTTGTTTACGCAAACGGAAAACAGGTAAATCTATAATTGAAAGGGATCGATCATTTTTTTTTTCTACAAGATGATAGTTAATAATTATCCCCCATCTATATATGTACAGAATTAAACTAGCGCAAGGCCTGTGGTGCATACACATTCTTGATTATTGTTGGTTTACTAAGAATTCTATTTTGGTGCCATAGTATTTTAAATTGGATCCAACATAAGTTGCCTTGCTTCTTTTTTTCTTCTTCTTTTCATTAGTATGATGCTCATTAAGACGAACTGCTACTGATTAGCTATTGGAAATCTTATTCAAAGGAAAGCTTGGTTTCTGCAGATTGACTGAGAGTGGCTCGTCGTAGCTTCGTTTCGAAATAATCCAATGGCAAGAATTGATATCTGTTCCTAAAGCCACGTTCAGTCAGCTTCATTGTTTCTTTGGCGGGCGAATAAGATGCGTAGCTTTCGGATTCAGCATTGCAGCATGCAGTAATTCTGAGTATAAGCATCGACGCTTCAACTGCATAGCAGGAAGTATCCGAGAATGCTTTAGTAGAATAATGTGACATGTGTGTATTGGATTTTTCTACAGGTGCAAGTGGAAATTCTTTTTTTTTTGGTAAAGATGCAAGTGGAAATTCTTAAGCACTGCTATTTCTAAAGTTTACTATTGTCATGCATTTTTATAAAGTAACTAAAGTACCTTTATTTGGGAAGCACCTAATCACGTATGTATAGTACTCATTATAGATATATCGATGGTCGCTTCTTTTATTGGAGATTCCTTAATCACATAAATAAGCAAAGTATATTCATTAATCACTTCTTTGTTGATATGGAGTACGGTCTTTGGAGTAAACTCATCTTTTAAAGAATATTGCAGTATGCATATGCGTACTATAATTTATAGTTAAATCGAGTTTGTTCATACATCTGTATGTGCCTTTTCCCTTGGCCCATTGACATTAATGGCTGAGGATTAAAGCGAGCATTGGTTGACTTCAAGTCAACATATGGAAAGCCATCTAGATGGATCCATCGTCCATCCCATGATACACGCACTTGTATAGACACGTGTCCAAGAACCTGGGTTACGTACGCCAGCATCTTGACTAAACAAGCTTATAGCGTTCGGAAATGCGCAAGTATGCTTGGAGACGAAAAGCGAGCTATTCATAGGAATATCAAATGTGCTTTGTCATAGCATTCTTATCGCTTCGCATGTCTTCCCCAATTTTCGTTCACCTTTTGAAGATGATCACTGCCGATGTTTCATCGTCATCTTCATTTAATGATATGATATGCTGTAAGAACTATTTTGAAGTTACTCGATTTCTTTGAAATATATGTTTTGAATTATGTCCACTTATTAGGAGCATTCTGAATGTCAGCTTGAGTAACGTAAACATTGGTGAAAATTTAGTGTCCCAAAAACTCCATGGATAGATAGTTCACTAATAAACCAAGAAACAAGTAATTTAGCTCATTCACATACGGATCAGGAATGTTCAATGTATACAAAACATCCATACTTGGGCGCTTAGTGCAATGGCCATTTCGCATGGCTGGATCCATCTTGAATTTGATAAATGCATTGAAACTAGAAACGCTAGTAATCGCTGGTCAACCATTTTATTCAAAATTAGAATTTTGATGTTTTTTGACTATTGGAATTTTTAATCCGAAGAAATAAATTAATGTGAATTTTATTTTGTTTGAGATGCTTTTCTTCGTTAGAAAAAATGAATCCGAAGGCAAGCGAAAGTGAGAAAGTTTTATTTGTGTTGTATAAAAGCACTCTCCATTGATAACTACTCTATCTATATCAAAAAAAAAATATTGAAGGTCTATGTAAATATATTTCTTTTTTCAGATTTGATGAGCATCTGGAATAATTAGTGAATTACAACTCTATTATACTGCAATTGATACACATTAGTCTTCACCTCCTTTTTGGGGAGAGCTAATGCTTATTGGGCCTTTTGGTTTGCTCTCCATTAACCACCCCATGAGGATGATCTACACGGTTCGTAACCACTCCTTTTACCACAAGACGCTTTACCTAGCCAACATTTAGATCTGGCTCTACTTTTCCTCTAAGGGTTTGAATTTGATATATGCATTGAACCCAGAAGAGCCTAGTAATTGCTGGTCAACCACATTATTCGAAATTATAATTTTAATATTTTTTTAATATTAGAATTTTTAATCCAAAGGAATAAATAAATGTGAATTTTATGTTGTTTGAGTTCATTTTCCTTGTTCGAGAAAATGCATCCGAAGATAGGTGAAAGTGAAAAAGTTTTATTTGTTTTGATTAAGAGCACTCTCCATTGATAACTACTCATTTATATAAAAAAAATCGAAATAAGGTCAATGTAAATAGATTTTTTTTGAGATTTGGTGAGCATCTTACAACTCTATTGTACCGCAATTGGTGCACATTAGTCTTCACCTCTAAGGGGTTATTGTGCAACAAGTGCTTTGCATCATTGTCTAAAGCGAATTTTCGCTATATGCGAGGTACATTGGATCGGTAGTGGAGATTGTAGGCATAAATTGATCACATAAAACAACTTTCCAATGCAAGGATGCTGCCTCTGCCTCTCCTTCTCCCGTATTTCTTTTCTTTCTTTTGTGCTTTGTGAATGGAGCAAGAGTTGCATTGGCAAGACAGTAACTCATGCAAGGGTTAAATTTTACACACAACTCAGGGCGTAATTTACATGTCATTCTTTAGTATTGACCGGGAGTACCAAAGTCGTGGCCATTTGAGCTTCCTATGCAGTAATGGTGTGGGCATTGCACTGATTGACTTAGAAGGAAACATCCCCACAGATCGCCTTCTCGTAAATTTCCAGCCCGACGAACGGGGAAGTACTTGTGCGGACCATGGACCATTGAAATTTGTGGGATTTGCATGAAACTCACGTGACCAACAGCTGTGATTGGCCCCAGTCCACGTAGATTGTGATTGGACCGTTCCAAGATAAGAATTTCACCCCAAAATACACGCAGATGTATATACATCAACATCACAGTGGCTCTCCGCAGCATGTATGGCCAGACAAAGAGTCTCTTCCAGAGTCGATGAAAAGTAGTGCAACTTAATGAATGGGCAGTGCAGTCAAGGTCGACGGTCGACGGTTGATGCTTTCTCATTCACTGAATGGTACTCATTGTTGTTATTGTCTGCGGAAAAAAAAAAAAAGAAAGCCCTTCAAAAAGATCTTTTGAAAAATTAACACTTTCTTATGAAGAGGTTATTACTAATTAATTGTGTATGCTCAATTATAAGTAATTACTTAATTCCTTATGTTAACTAATACAAGAATAAGAACTATGAAATCTTTAATAAAAAGATGCGTAATTTCTTATATCTCGGCAATTGCGCATGACTTATGCGGTTGCGTCATGTGGCATGACTCATGTATCTATGTCACGTGATGTGCCGCCACATGGCAGAATATTATTGGTGAAACATTATTTGACTCATTAAATATAATATCACCCAATATGATTATAATATGTTGTAATCTATAGTTACATGTAAGTAAGTATTTTGTGTAAATAGATTACAACATATAATAAGATTTCCCAATCAATGCAAGTATTTTGTGTAAATTAAGTAAGATTTCCCAATCAATCTGCAGAAACAATGCAAATTAATCAGCATTGATATTTCTGAAGTTTACTACTGTCCTTGCTTTTAATTTCGCATTTTGGTAAATTTACTAAATCACCTTTTTTATATGGAAAAATACTTAATGACATACGCATACAACTTTTAATAGATATATCGATAGTGACTTATTTCACAGGGAATTGATTAACACATGAATAAGCACTTGCAACTTTTAAAGGTAGAAATTACTAATGACCAATATGCTTAAACTTACTTTTCTAAATAAAAAGTGATTATTAGTATGGAGAAGTTACTGAATTTAAAGAGTTTGGAAGTGAAGTTACATTTCATCATGACAAAATTGGTGGTCATCGATATGCGCAATCCTACTTTCCATGGTGAAAAGTTACTATGGTAAAAGACTGACTTGGTACAATCCTTTTTTGCCAGAGCAACACTCCAAGTTCACCACTGAGTATAAACGATTAACTAATTTTCGGCATTGGTTGACTTCAAGTCAACATCTGAAAAGCCATCTAAATGGATCCATCATCTATCCCTTAATACACGCACTTATATAGACACAAGTCCAAGAACCTCTGCTATGAATGCCAACATCTTGACTAATCAAGCTTATAGCATTCTTTGTCCAAAAAAAAAAAAGCTTATAGCATTCGAAAATGAGCAAGTATGCCTGGAGACAAAAACTGAGCTATTATAATAGCATTCGAAAATGATCATTTATCATAGGATTCTTGTCGCTTTACATGTCTTCCCTTATTTTCATTCACCTTTTGAAGATGATTACTACCGATCATCATCTTCATTTAATGATATGATATGCCACAAGAACTATTCTGAAGTTGCTTGATTTCCTTGAGATATACGTTTTGAATTATGTCAGAGCACTTGCCATTCGTTGCTTATGAGGAGCATCCCGAATGTCAGCTTGAGTAACGCAAACATTGGTGAAAATCCAATGCCCCGAAAACTCTATCGGGGAGATAGTTCACTAATAGATCAGTGGATAAGTAATTCAACTCATTTACATCTAGATCGTGAATGTTCAATGGATACAAAACACCCATGCTTTGGCGCTTGATGCAACGACCCCTACACGGCTAAATCCATTTTGGATTTGGTATATGCATCGAAACCAGAAACGCTAGTAATCACTGGTCAACCATATCATTCGAAATTATAATTTTGATGTTATTTTGAATATTGCAAAATTTAATTTGAAGAAATAAATAAATGTGAATTTTATTATGTTTGAGTTCCTTTTCTTCTCGAGTAAAAATGCATCAGAAGGCAGGTGAAAGCGATAAAGTTTCATTTGTTTTGTATAAGAGCACTCTCAATTGATAACTACTCTATCTATATTTAAAAAAAATTATCAAAGTAAACTCAATGTAAATAGAATTTTTTTTTTCAAATTTGGTGAGCATATGGAATAATTAGTGAATTACAACTCTATTGTACCACATTTGGTGCGCATTTGTTGGGCCTTTTGGTTTACTCTCCCTTTACCACCCCATGAGGATGGTCTACGGGGTTTGTAACCACTACTCCTACTACTAGACGCTTTACCTAGCCAACATTTACATCTCCCTTTACCACCCCATGAGGATGGTCTACGGGGTTGTTGGGCAACAAGTGCTTTGCATCATTGCCTAAAGCGAATTTTTGCTATATGCGAGGTACTTGGGATCGGTAGTGGAGATTGTAGCCATAAATTGATTACATGGAAGAACTTTTCAATGCAAGGATGCTGCCTCTGCCTCTCTTTCTCCCGTCTTCCTTTTCTTTCTTTCGTGCTCTGTAGATGGAGTTTCATTGGCAAGACAGTAACTCATGCAATGGTTAAATTTTACACACAACTCAGGACGTAATTTACATGTCATTCTTTAGTATTGACTGGGAATACCAAAGTCGTGGCCATTTGAGCTTCCTATGCAGTAATGGTGTGGGCATTGCACTGATTGACTTAGAAGGAAACATCCCCACATATCGCCTTCTCGTAAATTTCCAGCCCGACGAACAGGGAAATACTTGCGTGGACCATGAACCATGGACCATGGATTACGGAAATTTGTGGAATCTGCGTGAAACTCACGTGACCAACAGCTGTGATTGGCCCATCCCACATGGATTGTGATTGGACCGTGCCAAGATAAGAATTTCACCCCCAAAATACACGCAGATGCATATACATCAACATCACAGCGGCTCTCACGGAGCATATATGGCCAGACAAGGAGTCTATTCCAGAGGGGATGAAAAGTAGTGCAACGTAGTGAATGGGCAGTGCAGTCAAGGTCAACGGTCGACCGTTGATGGCTTATCATTCACTGAATGGTACTCATTGTTGTTATTGTCTGCAGAAAAAAGAAAAGAAAAGAAAAGCCCTTCAAAAAGATCTTTTAAAAATGAACGCTTTCTTATGAAGAGGTTATTACTAATTAATTGTGTATGCTGAGTAATAAGTAATTACTTAATTACTTGTGATAACTAATACAAGAATAAGAACTGTGAAACCTTTAATAAAAAGATGTGTAATTTATTACGTCTTGGTAGTTGCGCATGAATTCACGCTGTTGCGTCATGTAGCGTGACTCGTGTCTATGTTATATGATGTGGTGTCACATGTCAAATTATTATTGGTGAAACTTTAGTTGACTCATCAAATATAACATACATATCATAAGATATAGTTACACGTAAGTAAGTATTTCGCATTAATTGTATCAATTGATTATTACTCATCTTTATACCATGAGAAATAGTCAATTCCATAAAACGTGCAGTGAGAAAATTACATGAATGCAATGCCCAAGGAAAATAACATTTTCCTAGCAAAAGTTATGCAAAATTATGCTATAATAACCAAAATCCACTGATTAAAACAACAATTTTCATTTCAAACAATTCTATGGAAACCAATTACGGTTCAAAAGTATTGAATGGACAAAACTCATTGACGATAATGACTACTTTTTCCTAAAAAGAAAAAGAGTGCCACTAGTTGCATTTCAATGGGAAGATTTTTTCTCTTTTCCTTTACATAAAGCACTGGAATTGACTGGAAGATTCTCTCTTTTTATTTCTATAAAGCACTGAATGTTACTCATAAAAAGAAGAACCAAAAACAGAAAGAAGAAAAGCGCTTCAAAAAGCTGTCAAAGAAAAATCGACACCTTCTTATAAATCTCTTCCCAGTTTGCTCTAGCATTGATCCTGCCTCTTGATTCCTTGCCTTGCTTTCATATCTACCCTGCTTTCTTTTTCTTTGTGTCATGAAACTCGGAAGCATGAGTTTTGTAGAGTTTCAATCATGCCACTTGCTTCTTGGTATTGTTCTTGCACTATGCTTTAACCAAGTCTTCTCCACCACCAATGAAACAGATAGACTTGCGCTGCTCACATTTAAGGCCGGCATAACCGAAGATCCTTTCGGCGTGCTCAACTCATGGAACAATAGCATTGGGTTTTGCCAGTGGTATGGCATTACGTGCGGCCGCAGGCACCAGAGGGTTACAGTCTTGGACTTGCGATCACAAGGACTCTCCGGATCAATCTCTTCTCATATCGGAAATCTTAGCTTTTTAAGGGGAATGTTCCTCCAAAACAATAGCTTCAATCAAAAAATCCCTCCACAACTCGGCCAGTTGTGCCGCCTGCATATCCTACGATTGGACAACAATTCATTGGTTGGAGAAATTCCCAAAAACATGTCGGGTTGCTCAGAACTAGTCATCCTCTGGCTTGTGAAGAACAAACTGACCGGAGAAATTCCTGGAGAGCTCGGTTCAATGTCGAAGCTACAAGACTTAGGTTTGGGTAGGAACAATCTAAGTGGGAGTGTGCCTTCCTCCATTGGGAACTTATCTTCACTAAAGGAACTTTATTTAAGCAGAAACAACTTGGGCAGGAGCATTCCCTCAGTTCTAGGCCATCTAACAAACTTGCAAGCGATTGGCATTGGAACTAACATATTGTCAGGTACAATTCCATCTTCGTTACTCAATCTCTCTTCTCCCGTTGTGTTTGACATTGGAGGCAACCGAATACAGGGGACTCTTCCTACTGGCATAGGCCTCAAACTCCCAAATCTTGAAATTTTTACCGTTTCTTGGAACCAACTTGAGGGACCGATTCCTCTGACGATATCGAATTGCACAAAGCTATACACGCTTCAACTTAACATTAATAGGTTTTCTGAAAAAGTGCCTTCTTTGGAAGAATTGTATAGGCTTCGTTGGTTTGGAATCGGTGGTAACCAACTCGGAAGTGGAAAACCTGAAGACTTGAGCTTCCTTTGCTCATTAACTAACATCACCCAATTAGAGTACCTGTCTATTGGGGGGAATAAGTTCGGCGGGGTGTTACCTAAATGCATAGGTAATTTATCCACCACTATCAAAGCATTTTTGTTAAGCTTCAATCATATATCCGGTGAAATTCCAGAAGAAATCGGGGATCTGGTTAATCTGGAAGTATTGTATATGAATGATAACAAATTATCAGGTGTTATTCCCCCAAATTTGGGGGCTCTACAAAATTTAGTGATGCTGGACTTAAGTGATAACAAGCTGGGAGGGACTATCCCATCTTCTTTGGGAAATCTAACCAAGTTAATCCAACTAGATCTTCGCAGGAACAACTTTCATGGGAAAATTCTGCCACATCTATCTAATTGCCGATCTCTTGATGAGCTTATTCTGTCTAATAACAATCTCAGTGGTGCCATTCCTCCGCAGCTCATAGGTCTCTCATCATTAACAATCATTCTGAACTTGTCTCATAACCGTCTGATTGGGGTTCTACCCACAGAAGTCGGCAACTTGAGAACTTTAACTGCGCTGGACATCTCGAACAATTTGTTGGTAGGTGAAATCCCCATCAGTTTAGGTCATTGCACTTCAATGACATCACTGAGGATGGGGGGCAACTTTTTCCATGGGTCCATTCCTCAATCAATGAAATCGTTAGGAGGCATTGAAGAACTAGATCTTTCATGTAATAATTTGTCAGGTCAAATTCCAGAATTTTTAGTAGCATTTCGCTCCTTGAAGCTTCTGAATTTATCGTACAATAAGTTTGAAGGTATGCTACCACGTGAAGGAGTCTTTAAGAATGCTACCGGTACTTCTATTATTGGGAATAATGAGCTCTGCGGCGGACTGCCAGAATTTCACCTCCCCAATTGCATCTCCAAACGCTCCAAGAGCAGAAAGATAAACATAGCAATATTGTTTGCTTGTATTATTTCCGGAGTCCTTGGAATAGCTCTTATTCTAACTTTTTTATATCTTTGTTGGTTAAAGAAGAAAGTAAATGAACCAGCTTCAAGTACGATAAGTGATTCACGTCCGAAGGTGTCCTATGGAGCACTCCTAAAAGCAACGGATGGTTTTTCTTCAATGAATTTGATCGGTATTGGAAGCTTTGGTTCTGTTTATAGGGGGATACTCGAGGACAATGGAATTGTGGTTGCCGTGAAGGTACTTCATTTAGTCCGTTGTGGTGCTCTGAAGAGTTTCATGGTAGAGTGCGAGGCATTAAAGAACATCAAACATCGAAATCTCTTGAAGATACTTACAGTTTGCTCGAGTAGTGATTATCAAGGAAATGATTTTAAGGCTTTAGTCTATCAATTCATGGACAATGGAAGCCTAGAACAATGGCTACACCCTAATGCAACATCTCATGGGAATGAGCTCCCGAAAAAGTTGAATTTCATTCGGAGGATAAATATTGCTATTGGTGTTGCTTCTGCACTGGATTATCTCCATCATCAATGCCACATCCCCATTGTTCATTGCGATCTAAAGCCAAGTAATATCCTCCTAGATGCGGAGATGGTCGCACATGTTGGCGACTTTGGATTGGCGAAATTCCTTCTTGGATCATCCCTTGATACTGTAGTTAATCAGATGAGCTCAGTGGGTTTTAAAGGGACAATTGGTTATGCTCCACCAGGTACTCTCTCTCTCTCTCTCTCTCTCTCTCTCTCTCTCTCTCTCTCTCTCTCTCTCTCTCTCTCTCTCTCTCTCTCTCTCTAACTCTTATAGTCTTAGGCACATTACCTTATGATTTGAAGATCCGCACCCCAATTTTACCTGCACTATGATCTAAATGTGTGGCAGAATATGCAATGGGATGCGAAATTTCAAGAGAATGGGATGTCTATAGTTACGGGATTCTCTTACTTGAGATGTTCACAGGGTTGAGTCCCACCGATGACATATTTAGAGACAATTTGACTCTTCATAGTTTTGTCACAAAAGCTTTGCCCGGACGAGTACTTGCAATTACAGACATCATTTTGCTTCAAGAAAGAGAGAGCCATTTAGGCCCCCGTAGTCCGCAGCATTGGCTTTTCGAAAGCGACGGCATATTTCAAGAGTGTTTGGTTATGGTGTACAATATTGGAGTTGCTTGTTCGCATAGCGTGCCTGGAAGACGGATGAGCATCAGCGGAATTGCAAATCAGCTGCAACAAGTTAGGGAGAAACTCTTTGCCTTGGGTTTACATGGAGAAGATGAACTACTAACAGCTTCTGTTTAGCTGTTAGTAAACGGAAGCGGACAGGTAAAATCTATAACTGAAGAGGATCGGTCATTGCCTTTTCCTCAAAATGATGATTGATCATTATTCTCCATCTGTATCTATACATAACAAAACTAGCACAAGGCCAATGGTGCATACATATTCTCGAGTACTGTTGCTTTTCTTAGAATTCTTTTTTGGTTCCATAGTATTTTAAATTGAATCCAACATAAATTGTCTAGCTTCTGTTTTTTTCTTGTCATTAGTATGATGCTCATTAAGAGGAATTGCAATCGATTAGTTATTGGAAATCTTATTCAAAATAAAACTTGGTTTCTGCAGATTGAGCGGGAATGGCTCGCCGTTGCTTTGTTTCTAAATAATCCAATATCGGGAATTGATCTCTGCTCCAAAAAGTATGTTTAGTCAGCTATGAACCATGCGGTTGCTCTGGAGGGTGAATACGGATGCATAGCTTCTGGATTTAGCATTCTAGCATGTGGTAATTCAAGAACACTTATTGACTGTCGATGCGCATGGTACGAATTATCCAAGAATGCTTAGTAGAATAGTGTAACTCTAGTGTATTGGATTTTTCTAGGAGTGCAAGTGCAAATTAATCAGCACCGATATTTCTAAATTTACTACTGTCCTTGCTTTTAATTTCGCATTTTGGTAAAGTTACTAAATTGCCTTTTTTTATATGGAAAAACACTTAATGACATATGCATAAAACTTATAATAGATATATCGATAGTCACTTATTTCACAAGGGACTCATTAACACATGAATAAGCAACTTTTAAAGGTAGAAATTACTAACTGCACCAAGAAATTACTAATGACCAATCTGCTTAAACTTACTTCTCTAAATATAAAGTGATTATTAGCATGGAGAAGTTACAGAATTTAAAGAGTTTGAAAGTGAAGTTACTTTTCATCATGACAAAATTAGTAGTCATCAATATGCGTTTGCCTACTTTCCATGGTGAAAAGTTACTATGGTAAAAGACCGACTCAGTACAATCCTTTTTTGCCAGAGCAACACTTCAAGTTCACCACTGAGTATAAACGCTTAACTAAATCTCGGCATTGGTCGACTTCAAGTCAACATCTGAAAAGCCATCTAGATGGATCCATCATCTATCCCTTGAGACACGCACTCATATATACACAAGTCAAAGAACCTCTGCTATGAATGCCAATATCTTGACTAATCAAGCTTATAGCATTCAAAAATGAGCAAGTAAGCCTGGAGACAAAAACTGAGCTATAATAATAGCATTCGAAAATGATCATTTATCATAGGATTCTTGTCGCTGTACATGTCTTCCCTTATTTTTATTCACTTTTTTATTCACTTTTTGAAGATGATCACTGCCGATGTTTCATCATCATCTTCATTTAATGATATGATATGCAGCAAGAACTATTCTGAAGTTGCTTGATTTCCTCGAGATATACGTTTTGAATTATGTCAGAGCACTTGCCATTTGTTGCTTATTAGAAGCATCCCAAATGTTGGCTTGAGTAGCGCAAACATTGGTTAAAATCCAGTGCCCCGAAAACTCCATCAGGAGATAGTTCATTAATAGACCAATGGATAAGTAATTCAACTCATTCACATCTAGATCATGAATATTCAATGGATACAAAACACCCATGCTTTGGCGCTTGATGCAACGGCTCCTACACGGCTAAATCCATTTTGGATTTGGTATATGCATTGAAGCCGGAAACGCTAGTAATCGCCAGTCAACCATATTATTCGAAATTGGAATTTTGATGTTATTTTGAATATTGCAAATTTTAATTTGAAGAAATAAATAAATGTGAATTTTATCATGTTTGAGTTCCTTTTCTTCTTGAGTAAAAATATATCCAAAGGCAGTTGAAGGCAATAAAGTTTTATTTGTTTTGTATAAGAGCACTCTTGATTGATAACTACTCTATCTATATTGAAAAAAAAAATCAAAGTAAACTCAATGTAAATAGATTTTTTTTTTCAAATTTGGTGAGCATCTGGAATAATTAGTGAATTACAACTCTATTATACCGCATTTGGTGCGCATTTTGTTGGGCCTTTTGGCTTGCTCTCCTTTAATCACCTCATGAGGATGGTCTACGGGGTTTGTAACCAGTCCTACTACAAAATGCTACCTAGTCAACATTTACTTCTGGCTCTACCCTAGGGTTTGTTGTGTAACAAGTGCTTTGCATCAACGTCTAAAGCGATTTTTGCTATATGTGAGGTACTTTGGATCGGTAGTAAAGATTGTCGGCATAAATTGATCACATGGAACAACTTTTCAATGCAAGGATTCTGCCTCTGCCTCTAGTTCTACCATTTTTATTTTCTTTCTTTTGTGCCCTGTGAATGGAGCTAGAGTTTTATTGGCAAGACAGTATCTCATGCAAGGGTTAATTTACATGTCATGTTTTAGTATTTACTGTGAAAGTTATCAAAGTTGCGACCGTTTGAGCTTCCTATAAAGTAGTGGTGTAGGCAATGCCCTGCCTTCTCGTAAATTTCCAGTCCAAAGTACAAGAAACTAATTGCGAGGGTCATGGCCCATGGACCATGTGCAATCACAATCATTGAAATTTGTGAGATCTGCATGCAATCCAGATAGGAAGTTTGAGCTTCCTGTAAAGTAGTGGTGTGGGCAATGCCCCACCTTCTCATAAATTTCCAGCCCAACGTATGGGAAACTAATTGCGAGGACCACGGCCATGGACCACGTGCAATCACAATCATTGAAATTTGTGAGATTTGCGTGAAATCCACGTGATGGACAGCTACGATTAACCCCGGTCCACGCGGATTGTGAATGGATTGTGCCAAGGAAATAATTTCACCCAAAATACGCGCATATGTGTATACATGAACATCACAGCGGCTTTCCCGCTGCATATATGGCCAGACAAAAAGTCTTCCAGAATCAAGGAAAAGTACTGCAACTTTAATGACTCATGTGCTGATGTTATGTGATGTGGCGTCATATGGCAAATTAATATTGGTGAAACTTTATTTGACTCATTAAATATAATATACATATTATAATCTATAGTTGCATGTTAGTCAGCATTTTGCATTAATTGTGTCAATCAATTATTACTCATTATCATAAAATGAGAAATACTTAATTCCATAATATGTGCAGAAAGAAAATTATATGAGTGTAGTTCCTAGAGAGAATAACATTTTCCTAGGCAAAAGGACACCAGAAGTGCCATAAGTTGTGTACGGAGATCACTTCGGTGCCATAACTTTTTTTCGGATCACTTTGGTGCTAACTTTTTTTGAAAAACGATCACTTTAATGCCAATGCTGACATGGCTTGCCGGAAATCCTACGTGGCGCTGACATGGCTCGCCGGAGAGGTCCAATCAGTATTAAAAACCAAAAACGACGCCGTTTAGTCCGCTGACATGTACTTTTTTAGAAAAATAAAATTTATATTATATTTATTTATATTTAAAAAAATGGTCTAACTTGTACATGTGAAAATTATGTGGCTTTTTTTTCGAATTTTTTAATCTTTTTTTTTCCTAACTTTTTCCTGATTGCCAGTCTGGCGACCGGCCAGAGGGGAGGGCCGGTGAGGCCGACCTTGCCGGCCTCTGGCGAAGCTCGCCTCGCCCAGCAAAGGAGAGGCTGACCTCGCCGTCACCTGGGTTGCGACAGCGAGGTCTCCCCTCGCCCGGCAAAGGCGAGGCTGACCTCGCCGTCGCCTCGACCCAGGCGATGGTGAGGTCGGCCTCGCCTTTGTCGGGCGAGGCGAGACCTCGCTGTCGCGACCCAGGCGACGGCGAGGTCAGCCTCGCCAGATCTAGCGAAGCTCGCCGGTGGCTGGCAGGGCGAGCTTCACCAGATCTTAGGGGTGAGCAACTTGGACCGCCCAAACCGGGACCGGACCGACGAGTTTGGTCCGGTTCTCGGGACTATCAGTCCGGTTCCCGGTTCCTAAAAGCGGAACCGGTTTCCGGGCGGTCTGGTTCCCGGTTCCAAGGGGGAACCGGATCGGACCGGACCGACTATTTAATATATATTTTTGTTATTTTTTTCTTTAAAAAAATTAATAAAATGTGAACTAAACTTTAAGTGAACTTCATTATCATAAATTCATTAATAAAAAATAGTAAAATGTGAATTAAACTCTAAGTGAACTTCATTGACATAAATTTATTGATAAAAATTAGTAAAATGTGAACCAAACCTTAAGTGTTTGACAAAAAAAACCCTAAACTCTAAGTAACCGGTTCCATTGGATCAGACCGAAACCGGACCGGACCGATAGTCCGGTCCGGTTCCCGGTCCTAGAACCAACCAGTCCAGTCTGCGGTTCCCAAAATTGGGAACCGGTTCTCTCGGTCCGGTTCCCGATTCCACCTTGGAATCGGACCGGACCGGGAATGTAACGACCTGGGTCCCACTCGCAAGATATTGTCCGCTTTGGACACTAAGTCCTCACGGTTTTGTTCCTCCAAGGGCAGCCCATACTACCCCCAGAAAAGGCCTCTTGCAAGTTAAGGCTTCCCAAGCCTTTATAAACTAGCCCAGGACTCCCCCCTAGGCAATGTGGGACAAGAGACATGCCCCCCTTGCCATCCTAGAAGCCTGCCAGGAGCCGCTCCTTGTCCAGGCCCTCTGGCCCCGGCGACCACTCCCCGCCCTCGTCGGACCGGGTTGTTACATTTTCCCCCCCTTTGGGCACAGCGTCCCCGCTGTGGCCCCACACGCGGTCGGGAGTCGGCTTTGATACCATTTGTAACGACCTGGGTCCCACTCGCAAGATATTGTCCGCTTTGGACACTAAGTCCTCACGGTTTTGTTCCTCCGAGGGCAGCCCATACTACCCCCAGAAAAGGCCTCTTGCAAGTTAAGGCTTCCCAAGCCTTTATAAACTAGCCCAGGACTCCCCCCTAGGCGATGTGGGACAAGAGACATGCCTCCCTTGACATCCTAGAAGCCTGCCAGGAGCCGCTCCTTGTCCAGGCCCTCTAGCCCCGGCGACCACTCCCCGCCCTCGTCGAACCGGGTCGTTACAGGGAACCGCTCACCCCTACCAGATCTGGCGAGGCCGGCCTCGCCTTTGCTGGGAGATGCCGGGCGCCGACGAGGCTTGCCCTCGCCGATGGCCGGCAAGGCGACCTCGCCGGTGGCCGATGAGGCAACCTCGCCCAGCTAGGGGCCGGCGAGGCTTGCCCTCGCCGGTGGCCAGCGAGGCGAGCTTCGCCAGAGGCCGGCAAGGTCGGCCTCGCCGGCCCTCCCCTCTAGCCGGTCGCCGGACCGGCGACTGGGAAAAAGTTAGGAAAAAAAAGATTAAAAAATTCGAAAAAAAAGCCACATAATTTCCATGTGTACAAGTCAGATCATTTTTTTAAAAATATAAATGCCACGTCAGCTTTTTGGCCGGAGTCACTAAAGTGATCTATTGTCCTCCGATTTGGCACCAAAGTGATCCGAAAAAAAGTTATGGCATCAAAGTGATCTCCGTACACGACTTATGGCACTTCTTGTGTCCTTTTGCCCATTTTCCTAGCAAAAGTTATACGAAATTAGGCTATAATAACCAAATTCCACCAACTATAACAACAATTTTATTCCTTTTAAACAATTCTATGGAAACCAATTATGGTCCAAAAGTATTAAATGGAAAAAATTCATTGACTAAAGTGACCAGTTTTCCTAAAAGAGAAAGAGAGCCACTAGTTGCATTTTATTTCACAAACCACTGCATGATACTCTTTACTGACTGAGAGATACTCTTTCCCTTGTTCTTTTTATAAAGCACCAAATGATACGCACAAAAAGAAGAACAAAAATAACTTTAAAAAAAGTGCTTCAAAAAGCTGTCCACATAAATCGACTCCTCATAAATTTCTTCACCGTTTCTATGAGCATTGATCCTGCCTCTTGTTTCTTCTTGCCTTGCTTGCATATCTACCCGCTTTCTTGTACTTTCAGTCATGAAACTCGTAAGCATGAGTTTTGCGGAATTTCATTCATGCCACTTGCTTGTTGGTATTGTTCTTGCACTGTGCTTTAACCAAGTCTCATCCACCACCAATGAAACAGATAGACTAACGCTGCTCGCATTTAAGGCCGACATTACCGGAGATCCTTTCGGTGTGCTCAACTCTTGGAACAATAGCATTGGGTTTTGCCAGTGGTATGGCATTACGTGCGGTTGCAAGCACCGGAGGGTCACGGTCTTGAAATTGCGATCACAAGGACTCTCCGGATCAATCTCTCCTCATATCGGAAACCTCAGCTTCTTAAGGGAGATGTTGCTGCAAAACAATACTTCAGTCAAGAAATCCCTCCAAAACTTGGTCGGTTGCGCCGCCTACATATCCTAAAATTATACAACAATTCATTGGTTGGTGAAATTCCCAAAAGCATGTCGGGTTGCTCAAACCTAGTCATCCTCTCGCATGGGAACAACAAACTAACCGGAGAAATTCTTAGAGAGCTCGGTTCAATGCCAAAGCTACAATGGTTCGATTTGGATCGGAACAATCTAACCGGGAGTGTGCCCTCCTCCCTTGGGAACTTATCTTCACTGGAGATCCTTTATTAACCAAAAACAACATGGGCGGGAGCTTTCCGCAAGTCCTAGGCACCTGACAAACTTGCTACAAATTAGCTTTCAAAGTAATAGATTGTCAGGTACAATTCCATCTTCGTTACTCAACTTTCTTTGCTTGTTGTGTTTGAAGCTGGAGACAATCGGATACAGGGGACTTTTCCTGCAGGCATAGGCCTCAAACTCCTAGATCTTGAATTTTTTAGCATTTGTTTGAACCAACTTGAGGGGCCGATTCCTCTATCAATATCGAATTGCATTAAGGTAGGATCGCTTCAACTTGCAGGTAATAGATTTTCCGGAAGAGTGCCTTCCGTGGAAAATTTGTATAAGCTTAGTAGGTTTCTCATAGCAGACAATCAACTTGGAAATGGAAAACCTGAAGACTTGAGCTTCCTTTGCTCGTTAATTAACACCTCCAAATTAGAGCTCGTGATGGGGGGAACAAGTTTGGTGGGGTGTTACCTAAATGCTTAGGTAATTTATCCACTACTCTCATAGGTTTTTCTTTAGGCATGAATCAAATATCTAGTGAGATTCCAGAAGAAATGGGGAATTTTGTCAACCTAAAAGTACTAGTAATGGTTAATAACCAGCTTTCAGGTGTTATACCCTCAAATTTGGGGACTCTACAAGATGTAGCGAGGCTGGTACTAAGTGATAACAACCTCGGAGGGACTATCCCATCTTCTTTAGGAAATCTAACCAAGTTAATTCAACTAGTCTTGGTGGGAACAACTTTCATGGGGAAATTCCGCCACATCTATCGAATATCTAATCTCTTGATATGCTTGTTCTGTCTAATAACAATCTCGGTGGTGCCATTCCTCCGTAGCTCATAGGTCTCTCCTCATTAACAATCATTCTGAACTTGTCTCGTAACCATCTAATTGATGTTCTACCCACAGAAGTCAGCAACTTGAGGACTTTGACTGCGCTGGACATCTCCGACAATTTGTTGGTAGGTGAAATCCCCAGTAGTTTAGGTCATTGCACTACAATGACATCACTGAGGATGGGGGGCAACTTCTTCCACGGGTACCAAAATTTTGTTGGAAACAATGAGCTCTACGGCGGACTACCAGAATTTCATCTCCCCAACTGCATCTCCAAAAGTTCCAAGAACAGAAAGATAAATATAGCGATATTGTCTGCTTCTATTATTGCCGGATTTCTTGGGATAGCTCTTTTTTTTAACTTTTATATATCTTTGTTGGTTAAAGAAGAAAGCAAATGAACCAATTTCAAGTTCGATAAATGATTCACGTCCGAACGTGTTGTATGGAGCACTCGTAAAAGCAACAGATGGTTTTTCTTTGACGAATTTGATCGGTGTTGTAAGCTTTGGTCATGTTTATAGGGGGATACTCGAGGACAATGGAATTGTTGTTGCCGTGAAGGTGCTTCATTTAGTCCATTGTGGTGCTTTGAAGAGCTTCATGGTGGAGTGCAAGACATTAAAGAACATCAAACATCGAAATCTCTTGAAGATACTATCAGTTTGCTCGGGAAGTGATTATCAAGGAAATGATTTTAAGGCCTTAGTTTATCAATTCATGGACAATGGAGGCCTAGAACGATCTCTGCACCCAATCACAATATCTCATGGGAATGAACTCCCGAAAAAGTTGAATTTCATTCTGAGGTTAAATATTGCTATTGGTGTTGCTTCTGCACTGGATTATCTTCATCATCAATGCCACATCCCCATTGTTCATTGTGATCTAAAGCCAATTAATATCCTCTTAGACGCGAAGATGGTCGCACATGTTGGCGACTTTGGATTGGCTAAATTCTTTCTTGGATCATCCCTGGATACTATAGTTAATCAGATGAGCTCAATGGGTCTTAGAGGGACAATTGGTTATGCTCCACCAGGTAATCTCTCTCTCTCTCTCTCTCTCTCTCTCTCTCTCTCTCTCTCTCTCTCTCTCTCTCTCTCTCTCTCTCTCTCTCTCTCTCTCTCTCTCTCTCTCTCTCTCTCTCTCTCTCTCTCTCTCTCTCTCTCTCTCTCTCTCTCTCTCTCCTTGTGTGATGTTTGGTAGCTAATGATAACTCTTATAGCCTTAAACACATTACATTTTGATTCGAAAATCCACACTCCAATTTGACCTGCAGTATGATCTAAATGTGTGGTAGAATATGCAATGGAATGCAGGGTTTCAAGAGATAGAGACGTCTATAGTTACGGCATTCTCTTACTAGAGTTGTTCACAAGCTTGAGTCCCACCGATAATATATTCAGAGACAATTTGACTCTTCATAGTTTTGTCGCAAAAGCTTTGCTTGGACGAGTACTTGAAATTACAGATGGCGTTTTGCTTCAAGAAAGAGAGAGCCATTTAGGGCCCTGTAGTCCCCAGCAAATGCTTTTCGAAAGCGATGGCAGATTTCAAGAGTGTTTGGTTATGGTGTTCAATATTGGAGTCGCTTGTTCGTACAGTATGCCCGGAAGATGGATGAGCATCAGCGGAATTGCAAATCAGTTGCAACAGATTAGGGAGAAACTCTTTGCATTGGGTTTACATGGAGAAGATGATTTACTAACAGCTTCTGTTTAGTTGTCATACCTTTAGGGTTTTTTAAGCAAACGCAAGCAAACAGGTAAATTCTATAGCTGAAGAGGATTGAATTTTTTTTCCCTCAAAATGATAGTTGATCATTATTCCCCATCTATAAATCTACATAATTAAACTAGCACAAGGCCTATGGTGCATACACATTCTTGAGTACTGTTGGTTTACTTAGAATTCTTTTTTGGTGCCATAGTATTTTAAGTGTAATCCATCATAAATTGCCTCGCTTCTCTTTTCTTTTCATTAGTATGATGCTTATTAAGAGAAATTGCAATCGATTAACTATTGGAAATCTTATTCAAAGGAAAGCTTGGTTTTTGCAGATTGACGGGGAATGGCTCGCCATTGCTTTGTTTCAAAATAATCCAACGGCAAGAATTCATATCTGTTTCTAAAGCTATGTTCGGTCAGCTACAGGCAATATTGTTGCTTTGGTGGGTGAATAAGGATGTATAGCTTTCGGATTCGGCATTCTGGAATGCAGTAATTCGAGGACACGTATTGACTGTTGATGTGTGGAGTAGGAATTATCCAAGAACGCTTCAGTAGAATAGTGTACCTTGAGTGTATTGGATTTTTCTATGGGTGCAAGTGCAAATTATTCAGTATTGATATTTCTGAAGTTTACTGCTGTCCTTACTTTTATTTTCGCATTTTGATAAAGTTATTAAATCGCCTTTTTTTTATTGGGAAAACACTTAATGACATATGCATAAAACTTATTATAGATATATCGATAGTCACTTATTTCACAGGGGATTTATTAACACATGAATAAGCAACTTATAAAGGTAGAAATTACTAGCTACGTCAAGAAATTACTAATCACCAATATGCTTAAACTTACTTCTCTAAATAAATAGTGATTATTAGCATGGAGAAGTTACTGAATTTAAAGAGTTTGGAAGTGAAGTTACTTTTCATCGTGACAAATTTAGTAGTCATCGATATGCACACGCCTACTTTCCCTGGTGAAAAGTTACTAGAGTAAAAGACTTAGTACAGTCCTTTTTGGCCAGAGCAACACTTCAAGTTCACCTTTGAGTATTAACGCTTAACTAATTTTCGGCATTGGTTGACTTCAAGTCAACATCTGAAAAGCCATCTAGATGGATCGATCGTCTATCCCTTAATACACGCACTTATATAGACACAAGTCCAAGAACCTCTGCTATGTATGCCAACATCTTGACTAATCAAGCTCATAGCATTAAAAATGCGCAAGTATGCTTAGAGACAAACGCTGAGCAATTACTAGGAAACCCACATATGCTTTATCATAGGATTCTTGTCGCTTTACATGGCTTCCCTTGTTTTCATTCACCTTTTGAAGATGATCACTACCGATGTTTCATCATCTTCTTCATATAGTCTTCATTCGTTTCACGGAAAACAACTTTCACAAAAACATTTTCCGAATTTTCCAACGTTTATTTCACAAAAAATAAATTAGTCATGGAAAACATTTTCCACCAATAGAAAAAACATCTTAAAAAATGGGAAAAATGTTTTCCGCTTTTTCCGCTTCTTAGAAAGCAGAAAACATTTTTCATATCTTCTTTCACCTTACTTTGTCACGCCCCGAACCCTACGAGCGCGCGATCATCCCTCCGAGGTCAATTCAAGTGCAACGTCCCAGGACACGTCGCCAACCCAAAACCCAAAACAGAGAACAATGCACAAGCGGAAGCAAACAAACACCCGTACAAATTAAAACCACATGACCAAGGATCGCAGTAATACCATAAATACAACTTGCACTAATAACAGGGATTTACAATATCCATTATAACATAATAAACACATAAAAACCAAAACGGGTCAACAGCCACCAACATCGAAAGGGAGTACGTGGCTCAACGGTCAGGCACTATATCTAGCCGGGGCTCCTCCCAAATGTATCGGTACGCCTGCCATCCTCAAGGCTGGGGGTCTGAAAAGTTGAGTTTAAACAACAGTGAGAATAAATCTCAGCAAGTAGGCCCCCTAAACCTAAACTAGGCTAACATGCACCTCCTGACGAGCACTAAACAATACACAATCCAGAATATAAATGATTTAGGCCCTCGAGCCCAAATCCTAAACTCAATTGGCCCTGCAAGTTAGGCACTTTATAAATTCACAATAATAACGCAGAACTTAATCGTGGCACATACATAACATCACTTGATCACAACGTATGTCATGCATATGCTCATACTCATGCTCATGCTCATACTCATGCTCATGTCTCATCAATGCACTTTCGCACACTTGCACTCTTGCACACTTGCAATTTACCAATTCTCCTCCGACCCGCATAAAACTCATCAGGTCCGACCCGCGTAAAACGCATCAGGTCTATCACTTCGAGATCGATCTCTGGCCCGCGTAAAATGCATCAGGCTCATGACACAAAACCCGCGTAAAACGCATCAGGTTGGTCATCTTCCGGTAGTCCGAGCATCGTCCCACGTAACACGCCTCAGGACGGGTTCAATACCCCGCGTAAAACGCATCAGGGCTTTATGTGATCACACGTACACAATCACCAGTTATTATCTGAACCCCGCGTAAAACGCATCAGGGCATTTTAGGTGATCACATGCTCATGTCATTCGTGCACACTCGCATATGCACATGTTATGCCAACGTTCGAGATGCACACTCATGGCCATAACGTTCACACTTGGGCATTTAAGAAATTCACAATGAGCATTCAATTGCACAACACCACTTGTTCAATTCACAATACAATATGCTCAATTTACACCACACATATTCAATTTAATGAATCAATATGCCCAATCAATCAATTAATTCAAATCAGCCATGGTACATCATCGGCACACGAAAATCACGCAATTAAGCCCTTAAACTTGCACAAGTCTAAGGTCCACCAAGCCTATCCTTTCTCGGCCACATAAGTACCCAATCCCGGCATCACATAACCACTACCAAGCCATAAACAATCAGCCACTTAATGGACAAATCAAGCACACACGGCCATTCACAATTAATCCTCAATTTCGCCGAACAAGGCCCGATAAATTCCACTATGGCCAGCCACTAATCAGTCCCCTCTAGGCCTCCAGTCCACCTCCAAATCATCACATTAGGCTCCCAAATCCACCACATAAACAGCCACTACACGGCCCGATTGTTGCACCCATTAAAGTCTGCATTTAGACCATGATTAATCAACATAGTAATCCAATTGAGCCTACACTAGTCGGTCACCAACCAGATCACCTTAGGCCACTAAATCACTTCCAAATCATCACATTAGACCACAAAAATCACCACGAGAACAACCACCACACAGCCCACAAATTACACTCGCTTAATCCACATTTTTGCCCGAATCACGGCTTCCATGACCAGCCACCACGCAGCACCTCGTAGACCACTAAACCTCATTTAAATTATCACACTAAGCCATCTAATTAGCTACAAGGTCAGCCCCTAACATTCTCCACCAGCTAACCCCTAAATTACCCTAATTAACCCCTAAAACTCATCTAGAAATGTACATTAGCCTAACTAGGGTTTAGGGTTGTAGTCACCAAGGTTCCTAAGCTCCTAACAAGGCTGACCAAGTGGGGAAAATGGGCAGCCCGAGCTGGTTCCACGGCGGCGCAAGCGGCGGTCCTCGACGGCGCTAACGGCGGCGGTGCGCGGCTAATCCGGTGGACGACGATCCAAGGCGGCGAAGGGGAGGGGAATGCTGGTTGGTGGAAGACGGGAGAGAGAGAGAGAGATGGTCGGGATGGTGGTGGTGCTAGGCGGCGGCGGCACCCCGGCGTGCGGCACCGGCGAGCGGCGGCGGTGACACTCCGGCGGGCGGCACACGGCCGAGAGAGAGAGAGCTTGCGGAATGGAGAGAGAGAGGGAGCTGGCCGGCTTGGAGGAGAAGAAAAATGAGGGAGAGAGAGAGAGACTAGAGTGTTTATGCACAAATGGGCTTAGTGGGGTTGGTAACCAACTTTGCAACAATGACCATCTTGTCCTCATTCCAATGGCCATGATCAAGACTTGCTAAATATCTTGGGGGCATTATGGTCCTCAATTTTCAGCATTATTGAGCTGAAACAAACTAATTTAAAACCCTAAAATATTCTCCAAATGATCCCAAAAATTCGGAATACAAGGTTAGGGGCACAAAGGCAAAACGGTAATTTTCCGGTCCCGGGTCAAATTCCCAATTTTCGACTCTATCGATCCCAAATATGTTTGGCCACACTTTTACGATGTTGTCCTTGCAAAAATAGTCGCGCACGCCCATGAAATTCGACACCCAAGTCCGGACTCAATTCCACGATCGATTTCGCTCGATTTGCGATTTTAGCGTCTCTCACTAACGGGCGGCTGTTTAGGGGTTACGCGTATCGACCTAGGGCTACTCGAGTCGTGAGGGTCTCGATTTCCCAGAGAGCACGAGGATTTATCGCTAGTTCCGGGGGTCGCGATCGTTCGGAATAAGTTCGGGATCGTCCGCCACGCGTACTCTTGGTCGCGCGGAATCACCCGCTATCTGATCGTACGTCGTTGGCCAAACTGAATCCGTCACTCTCCTTAGATCGGCCCACATTGGCACAAAATATTCCCTCGTCACTTCTTGGAATCGGACTCGATTTACAGTCGAGTTCTTGGGTCCACGCACCGTTTTCCTAGTTAGCCATTCCCTAATGGTCAGTATCCCGAGAATGATCAGTTCTGGGCGAGACTCACTAAAACGAAATGAGAAATAATCATCTATTTTATTAATCCCGGAAGTGGGTCGAATTCAGGGCGTTACATACTTTCTTTATAATACACATTTTCCTTTTATTTTTCTTTTTTCTTTTTTATTCTTTAAAATATCAATCTTTCTATTTTTTTCTTTGCTTTTTATTTTTTGCTTCTTCCTTGGCCGGTCGCTAGTAACTAGCAGAGAGCGAGCTCGAGCCTCGCCGTAGGCCAGTGAGGCTCGAGCCTCGCCGTAGCTCGCCAGATTCCCGCAAGCT